GTAAGCAGGCAAGCCATGCTCACTACAGTGCATAAACCTTTACAAGTTATTCACACAGCAAATCACCTCTCCAAAGTATGGGCTGCTTTCTCCTGGCCCATAGAGTTGGGAATCTTAAGCAGGGAAATGGTGACATCCAGTGCTCAGATACTATGTAAAGCATATGCATCCTCCTAGTGCTTTCTGTTTGCTCTAGCTCACAGACACGGCCAGCGTCTGCTGCACAGATGCACCAAGGCACAGATGTATTATGTTGCAGCAATGCACTGAGGACACCCAAGGTAAACTAAGGAAGAATTTACATCTCACTTTCAGATTTTCCTCTCTGACTGAATAGCAATAAAAAAAAGCAGACAACTTTGGAAACAATACCTCAGCCTGCAATTGTGATGTCTTCTCTTTTTTTCCTGCTTGCCAGACTAAGCGTATTTGAGATCAGCCTTTACGAAATTCTGTTGATGAAAGAAAGGTAGAAGCAGCACAGCTTATATTAGCTGCTCCTGCTAGGATTACATCTCTGAGAACACTTTCCTAGCTACCTGAAACACTGTTCTGATAGAAAACGAGCAGATGAGTCTGCACAGCCCCCCACCTGTGAGTTATTTCTTCTTCCCCCAAAGAGCATCTCAACACCATACCCTAATCAAGATGCTACAGAAGAGTATGAAAAAAAACAGGAATCAAAAGGCAGAATATTATTTGAAAAAATTAAAAAGAAACTTCTTTTTTTAGTGAAGAGTGAAAACAAAGATGTGCACATGTACATTCAGGCACACAGGTCTGCCTCACAGACCTCACCCACTGTGACAGCAACCCACCAACATCTCTGTATCGCTGTGACCATTTCTCAACCTCTGCCAAGCTTTTCTTTCAAGTGAGGATGCACTTAGAACTCTTCTAAAATAAGCCAGGTCTGGTACAATCTTTTAGCCAGCTGTCTTATTTTGAAGATAAGTTTGCACAATTATTGCTATCATTACTATGAAAATAGGAAAAAAGAAAGTAGGATCTTCACCACTATTGTTACTAAGAAATGTGTGAGATGGGAGAGAATAAGCATCCTGGCTATAACATTTTGTATGTAAAATCTGAGACTAATTTATAAAACTTTCAGCAGGAACAATTTAATTCAAGGAGCAAGGAAATGACATCCTTTGAAAGACAGTATGGACCCCAGGTTAACAGAATTTCCCATTCTTTTTGCTCAGACACCATTATCCTGTGATGCCAAAATCTTCCTGGAGCAGTAAATTACAGACCAACCACTGAAGTGGTTGCAGGTTTAGTTTCTAAGCTTAGGTGCAAGTAAATCTCCAAATGTGGAAATGTAACTATCACCTTAAACAGCAACTATACATAATAAAGTATTAAGTACAAACCCTGTTTTTTTCACAGCATTTATCTTTACAGATAAGACCAGCTCTCAGTGATGTACAGATTGTGCAACTTAGGACAACTGGCAGTACAGAAGGGAGATAAGTTCAGAAATGCTCTTCCGACACACAACTAATTTTATATTAAATGGAAAAAAAACCAAAGATGTAATTTATAAGTAAAAAATCAGAACCTCCGTCATTTTATGAAACATTCAGTGTTAGTGGGGCCTGAATGGACACTTGCTCAGCAGGTCATGCTCAACAGACCAGTCACTTGGCTGCAAACAGCTGATGCCTTCTCCAACTGCATTTGCCTGAGCAGTTTGCCTTCCATCCCAGGCACACTCACTTACTGCACTGCAAGTGCCAGAATCTCAGTGTTCTGCCTCAGTACTTGTTGCTTCTCTCCTATCCCTGGATGTTGTGATGTTGCTGCAGAGATATGATCTGGTCCTGCAGATCACCCCCTAACTTCCACCAGAAACTTGACGGGTCCATTTGGTGCAGCCAAGGTTTATTCACATCATCATTTGCTCAGCTCAGATGTCAGTAACATCGACAAATACACACATTTTCATCCTATAATTTTAGGAAAGTTTAAGCATTACTTTTTGGTGTTTCCAAGTAATCTTAAGCCACCTTACTGTTTGTGATTTCCATAAAGTACACAAACGTATTCAAAACAACAATTATTGGCTAAAAAAGCAGCGTGGTGAAGCTGCTGAAACACATTACCTTGCACTCAACAGTTACTTGAGGATAGTGAGAGCACCAATTAGTACGGCCTGCGGCCACTCAGCCTCAATGCTTCAGTGCACCAAGAATGAATGCACTCTTGAAAAAATGATTATTTTGAACATATACTAATGTACAATCATCCATTAACATGTAAACATTACAGCAGTGGCACAGAAAATTGAGCTTTAAGCATTCAAGGCAACTCAGCTATGTGTAACTACGCTGCTTTTGCCTGCCTGCAATGCCATCACACGTCATTTGGCACACACAAAGAACTTGCAGCCAGAACGGCCTTAAACAAAAGTTTAAGTATAGTTAATTATTTTTTAATGAATATTTCTCTCGCTCTAATGAATTCCGTAAAACAGAAACACTCACCTAAACCCACACACACAAACCAGACTGAACAACCCTGTGTGCTCTGCCATAGTTACCCTTCTCATTTTCTAAGGTATTTCCAACAGAAAAATGTATTTGGGTACAACACTGGAATTTGTGTCATCGTGACCAAGGGATTACAGTGCAAAGCAGCTCTGTGTCCTGGTCCCCATGGAAACTGGATTCAGATGCTGTCCTTTGCTCAGTGCAGCGCCCAGCTCAGAGCCTTTGTGCCTGACGAGATTTCTTCCCCAACCTTCCAGCAACAGACCTCACCGCTTCCTCCTGACTCTTTCCTAATTGAGATGCAAATTAATCTCTGTGGCTGATTACACTTCCCTTAAAGCCTCTGACAAGGGCAGCTGGAACCAGAGTTTGCGGACTTCCCTACAAGTGACTTCAGCTGTCACTACTGACAGGACGCTGCCAGACCCAGCAGCACGCGACCCCACAAAAGTTACGTCTCAAGTGCTGCCAAACATCACCCTTCCCTTTGCTAGGATTATTGCTTCTTGCTTCTCCCTTCCGTACTATTTGTTGGGAGTTAGTTCACCTTTGAGATATTTTCCTTCACAGTACGACAAAGTCACCGAACACTTTTAATTGCTTTTTACATTTCTGGGGCTGCTCTTCTCATTCCTCCAAGTTACAGATAGCAAAGCGACATCAGGAGCAAACTCATTCACTGAGCTTGCACTTTCTGGGAGCTACAAAGCACTGTTAGTGCATTGGACAAATTCAAACAACTCCTTCATGGAATATGCAAACCTACATTATACCTTCTGGCTCACAAAAATATTCAGTCTATCTTTGTCCTCATAGGGAACAACTACTGTTGACCCTTTCAGTGAAAAAAGTTTCATTTTTTATAATTAAAGTTGTGGATGTGTTTTTCTCCTGCTCCAGTGCCATCCTGATGGGACCTTCCCACTACGACATCTTTGTCCTGCTTCCGAAATCCCTCAGCTCTCTTTCATCCATCAAATAGAGATGTAGCAGTCAATCCACTACAGATGTCATTGGTACAAAAGCAGACACAAAAAAGAAAAACAAGAATCTGGGGACAGATATGGTTTCAGATAGACCTCAAACATATGCTGAGATGTGGCATGTGCTGTCACGTTCGTGCTGCTCAAGTTTCACTGCAGACAATGAAGGGCCCAGAAGGGGACCCTGCAGAAAAGTGGGAGCACAGCAAACTGATGACAAACTGAAAGCCAAAAGATGAGCGGGATGCAGAAATCTGAGGTTGGTGGTGGCACTACTCAAAGAAGCATTGGTCTCTCTTCATTCTAGTGAGCGCAGTTTCTTATGTTACTTTTACCACAGTGTCTCATTATTACAAATTACCTACACAAGCAGATGGATTAAGCTGACTTCTGCATAGAAGAACTTCACTCATTAGCTAGAATTCTCTCGTTAAACAGAAGTGGAAAACCTGGCAAGTTCTGAGTCATCTGTTAGGTGCTGCCATGACTTTGCAACTGATGCACTGAATTGAAATAGTTATGCAACAGCCACCAACTGGCTTTGTTTTACACACGAAATGGGTAAATAATGAAGTTAATCAGAATGACATTATTTAACTACAGTGCTACTTTTAATTTCCTGCAGCACATATGGGGTAAAACTCAGCATTTTTTTTAACAAAGAATATTTGGAAAATATAGTGTTTTAAAAATGTGCATCTCAGAGTAATTAATCAATGCTGTTTCACAGATCAAAGCACTTCCAAATTCTTTCTCAAACTCCTACTAGTAGAAAAATTCTCAAATAAAACCTTCCCCAAAGAAAACCAAGCGAAGTGAGTGCTGTTACTGACAAAACTAAAATGATTAACGAAAAGAGTTATAGGACATTTCAAACATAGTTGTGGCATTGTGAGAAAACCCTAAAAACAGTGAAACCAGTTAGTCTGCATATCATATCAGAATAACCCAGTTAGTATGCGTATCATACAAGAATAAAAGTTTATCTTGCAATCTGTAGAACAGATACCATCTAGCTATCTTCCAGCAACTGTAAGAAAACACTTTCTGAAAATCCCCTGTTACAGAAAGTGTTTGATTAAAAATGGAATTAGGGAACCGAAATATCTGTCTCAGAAGCCAAATCCCATTTGTCTTACTAATGTAACAGGACCAACCAAACTGGAATACCTTCTTTTATCAGGTAAGAACACCACTGCTATCTGTGTATTAGCTTAACGTACACTGTAGATAACTTTTATTACCATGAAAGAAAATGGAACACTGTCACTACTTACTGTTCAAAGCATCACTGTAAGTCCACATCCACTTGTTTGCCTGCTGCTGAGAACATTCTTGTGATCTTTTTTTATTTTTAAGCACTGAATGGCAGCAGGGTGTGAATGACTTAAAATTGAGCTTGACACGCAGAACGCTCTGACCTTTTCCAGTAAGTATTTTCACTAATGCTTACCTCCTAGCAGCAGAATATTCAGAAGAACCCTACCAAGGGAAACTTTGCATCAACAGGAAAGGATACAAACTCTGGTAGAGAGGGATAAGCGATTTGACGGCTCTGCTGGCATTGATGCACGTGGCACATATGAGGCTTGGCAGCAGCTTTGCAGTCACAATGGCTCCATCAAAGAGAGGACCAAAAAATGGCACCTGCAGACCCCAAAATAAAAACAGCACATGTGAAACTGAGCCGAGGGCAGCTAAAGGAAGCACAGGAGCAAGTTCCAAAATGAAAAACAGAAACAGTAAACAATAAGCCTGATTCCCATGGGATTTCCACAGCAAGGCACCTGCTGCTTGAGGAAGGTGAGAGGGAGGCAAGAAGATGAAGACTTCACCCTGAACAGCTCGAGGCACTTCAGATATTCAGCTACATTACAAGCGACAGTTTGCACAGTCTCCTCTGCAAATCACAGACAGACAAAGGCTGTGAATCAGCGTGGCAGGCTGGGTGCCACACTTGCTAGCACATGTTGCATCTTGCATTATATAAATACAGATTATTGACGTTTGGAAAAATAAGCATCAGCCCCACAATAAAACTCTACCAAACTATTTTGCCAGGAAACAGTATGAGCACATTGTTGTACATACTGACATTTGTAGTATAATACTCATCTCCTATTTTTTATGTTCTTAATCTTTTGTAATTATGCTTGATGTGTGTTTGTACATTTCACAGTATATTCAACGTGAACTTATTATATACATTAGCAAAGTTTGCCTGTGAATTGGAAGTTAATGCTCCATTTGGAGCAGATACTCAGAGAGATTTTCTGTCTTGCATCTCAGCAGGACATTGATTCACTGACTGACTCCTTCACTGGCAGGAGCTTTTGCTTCAGCTATTATTCCATAAGCTCCTTCCATGGACTTTTAAAAGAAAAAAGTTGAGCTGATCCAAGATCAGGAAATGCAAGAAGATGGCATCTCTTTGAGGCAGTGCCCCATAGGTACGATGGGCAGAGGCAATGGGTTTGTCTCACAGACAGTACCAAGATGTGGGAGCTGTGTTACTGCAGGGTTACCTCCAGAGGAGCCCACCACATCTCGTCATTTGGTGGCATATGGCTCTTCAGACAAAGGCAACGTTAAGAAAAAGAGAAAAGAGGCCCAAAGACTTTATAAAAGTGAAAAACGCCTGCAATTAGGTAGGTATAATATGCTTTGCCATATCAAGAACAGAGAGAAACACAGTGATTAACTGCATAGGAGATTTCATTATTGACAAGTAGTCAAACTCACTTCCCTGTCACAAACTCAAAATGAAAAAAAAAAATCTAAGTAGAAGCTAGCAGCAATTACCAATATTTAAGCTATGGATTTTTTCCATCTGTACAGAGGCTTATCACATAAATAAATACCCTCCATTATTCTTCTGCAACTGCTCGTGGGTGACTGTGACAGTCATTCAATAAATGGACAAAGAGAATAATATAAATCCCCTGCATCTAGGGAATTCCTCTAATTAGAAGTGGCATTGAATTACAGAAGAAATTTGGATTTAATGTAACATCTGCAAATGACAGCTGTCTTCTCACAGTTATTTTGTCATTCCTTTACTTAAAATATTGCCTCCTCCCACCTCCAAAAAGAAAAAAAGATTAATGCAAAATCTTTGCACAGCATTTTGCTTTATTTCATTGTGCTACCATTAGTAACTGGCCAGCTGGAAAGAAAAGTGACAGGAATAAAGTCTTTGCCATGGAAGTGATAATGTTCCACAGCACCAAGTTCCTCCAGCTTATGCAGTAACATTTCTAGGTGAAGTTTTTAACACACAAACTCTACCTTTCAAGTATGGACAAAAGGAGATACAACGTAAATCTCCATTTTTATGCCAGTATGAACAAGCAAGTGAAGTACATATTAGTACTAAAACCACATGCACATGTGAATGCTGGGTGTTTTAAGTCAGATTAGCAATGTACATATGCTACAATACAGAGGAATTGATTCTCATTTTGACTGTAAGCAATTTTTGCTTGCTGGACTTACTTCCAGTATTTCAGAAACACCTGGAGCCTAGGGAGTGTGGCTGATTGTCTTCACACAGGATTACTGAATTTATACACTAAAAATACACCTGAAGTGTGTTCATTCTGCACATCATGTATATGTGTGTGTGTAAATACTTAACTATGCTCCTATTTCTAAAAGTCTTTCACTGAGCAATTTCTCCAGCATTTTTTTCCCAAAAAATTATCCCCAATGTGTCAGAATTGTTGAAACAAAAAGTCCAGCAGTTGATGTCTCCAAGTTAAATGGACATGCTCCAACAAACCACGCTTTTCTCCGCTACAAACCCCCTGCTGAACCTTGCAGGTTGCTCTGCCTGCATGTGGGGCACATGGGCAGAGAAGCCCGGCTTGGCCCCCAGCCACAGCACTGCCACCAGGGGAAGCAGAAGAGCAATAAAAATGGAAGCACACCACAACTGTGAACTCCACTACGTGGCAAATTGCATGCGATTACTTAAAAGGAAAAAAAAATTGGGGAAATGAAGAAACACACTTTCTTTTCTAAGAAGCAAGCCAGGTTACTCGAAGAACTGAGACCCAAGCACATTCCCTGTCAAGAATTCTTCATGAAGCAGAGTTGGTGTAGGCTTTCTGATGGGAAAAGAGAGCAACTATGTTGATGATGGAAGCAACTTTTTATTGAGTGCGAATGATTACCAAAGCAAGACGAGATGTAAGCAGAACCAGAACCAAGAGCAGGGTCGTCGAAGGCAATGGGATGCCATGGATCATCAGGCTCCATACGTAGAGCCCACCGTAATGAGGGAAAGGGGACAGCTGAACTCAATGCACAGGAGCACATGCCCCACTCAGTGCTTTTGTGCAAGCCAGCATTTAACCAGATATTTGAGAAAAGAACTGTTTCAGATGGTTACAGAAAAATATATATATTAGGCTTAGGAAGGAATGAAATATTTAAAAGAAGTCAAGGGAAAAATCCTTCCACTCCTAGGCTACCACAAACGTCAAAGCAAGTCATCCATGGACAAGAAATTAATATTCACCACACTGCAACCACCTGCTTCATTATAATTTCCAGGATAAAAAAAATTATTTTTGTTGCACAGAGTAAAAGTAGGCAAGGTTAAATAAACCTTCTGAGCACAAAGAGTTCGGTTCTATAGCAAGCAGCACTAGTTAAAAGACTGGGGAATGGGTAAATTATTGTACCAAATGGCTGAGAATTAATCTCTGATGACTAGCTGCAATCTAACAAGGCATCTGTGTCCCAGGGAACCCGCAGTATGTCCCTGGCGGTATGTGCAGTGTGTAGAGTCTGCCTGGCATTCTTTGTCCTCTTTTGCAGGCAGCTTTTCGTCTCATTGTTCAGAATATCCTCATGCATCTGTGACGCGTGGAATGCATTCACACTAACAGACTTACTATTGTCTTCCCTCAGAAGCTTTGTCGAGCAAAGACTGCATCACGGTTCCTGATAATTATATTGCTTAATTAATCAAGACAAAAAAAATTTGCAAATCATTGCCCCGTTGCCAAGCAGGGAGATAAAAAATGAAAACAATACAAGCTGAAGCAATATAACAAAAGTAACAGCTATCTGATCAGAAATTCTTATATAATGAAGCTATTAATGCTAAATCGGTTAATGTTAACATTGCTCCAGGTGTCTCTACTTAGATGCAAACAAAAAGGCTAACATTATGTATATAAAAGGCCAAATGTTGCCATGGATTCTGTAACCTGATAGAGAGGACAGCCTTTTCATTTGATTAGGGAATGCAATTTAAATACCAGGGACCGAAGCCAAACAACAGACATTTCTCTCTGCAAGCCTCTTTCATTCACCCTGGGGTCAGTAGCTGGTGAACAAAAGGTCAGCCACACTTGCCCTGGAAATGTCTGGATTAATTTTATTACATTGTAATGGTTTGCACTTTAAATGTAGGGATAACACTAAATTTCCAGTTACCTATTATTCTTTCTGCCCGTTGGGTGTTTTTGACTAATATACAAGATGACACAGCCTTTCTCGGGTTGATTCTGAGAATTTTCAAGCACAGAGCTAAACTCTGGATTTCCTTATGGAAGACTCAAAGTTAAAAATCCCAAGAAGTAAATTGCAGAACTCAACATCGAGCGCAAAGAAAAGAAAACCCAATATTCCAACGTACAAAAGATTTTCATGTTTGCAGTGCCTACTGGCAAGCCTTTAGTTGCTAACATGTAATAGCCCCATCTAAAAAAATAGTGCACAGCCAGTGAATACATCACCTGATGGATGCATTTTTCTTGGACAAATAGTGTCCCTCACATAAGGAAAACTGTATTTATCACATTGATCACTTTCATAAAGTGCACACTACATAACCAGCAGCTAATAGAGCAGGGCTCTTTTTTATGCATATAGACATGGACTTGCACGCTCTTAACATCTGCTAAAGAAACAAAATCCACTGCTTAAAAAAATAAGGATATCTTAAAACGTGGTTGCATAACAATGAGCTAAATGGCACACAAACTCAAATGCTCTGTGTGATGTAAGAATATTCAATGCCCGCTGTATCCCACTGACTCAGATTATGGTTAGGGTCTTGAAAACATGTGAGGTTATGCATGGTGCTGTATGTACAGCAGTACATACATCCTATGAGGTGGATCAATATCAAATGTGGAATTTAAATCTTTATTGTTTTGCTACTACTGGCTCACTTTGGAATTTCATCATGTGCACAATAAATTCCATGGTATCAGAATTCTGAAGTGGTTCTTTAAGCACTGAGCATAATACAATAAAATTAATTGCATATTTTAATTGCTGTTTGCATTTCTAGCTGGGAAAAAATAAAAACAAACTCTAAAACATTGAGCTTTAACTATCAGTCAATCGTGCAGGAGATAGGACAGATTCAGTAAAGCGTTCAAAACGTACCTCTGGTTTCTTCATTATTTCTATGAAAAACATGTGGTTCTTCATCGGATAAATAACAATTAAAACATCTCCAAAATCTGTTGGTATAATGCCCCTGCGGTAGTTCCTGTTGTGTTCAGACCAGACGATGTGAACCTCATCATTTCCCAAGTGACGAAGCTGCAACAGCAAATTGGCTCTTTATTAATCAGAGTGATAACAACAGTTTATGAGGGGTCATGGCTTACAAATTGAATTAGAATGTTCAATACTAGAAATATTGCATTACAGAAAAAAAGTTAAAATATTGTTTTTCTCCATTTGCTCATCAAAAGATCAGCTAAATAATTTGCTTCATTGAGAACACATTGTTTTCTGATGGCTTAATTAAGTAATTATCAAGCTAGCCGTTAAAATGATATGTAAATGTACATTATATACAATAATTTAAGATGGGAATCTGAGCTGCTAGAATAAAACGTTAAATACACGACAACAATTGTCAGTTAAAATAAGGTGGCTGTGACAGAAATGCCTTGACTCTGGACGTCAAGAAACTTCCCAGCATGAATGACTATTTCTCAATTTATTGCATTAAAAAATTATTTTCTTGCTGCCTGTGTGTCCAGAGAAGGCTTTTGTTTGAAAATGCGAGCGTGGTGTTTTGGACCACTGAAACTACAGAAGAATGTGAAACACCAGGGAAGTTACTTTATTTGGAGCAGAGCTGCAAAAAATGCAGATAAATTTTGAGTAGGACATACCCCAAATCCATCCAAAGAACTGTGTGCTCGCTTTGTGAGGGGAGGAAGTGGAGCTGACCTAACAGATGGTGAGAAGTATTTGGCAATAACATACAAGCTATGCACAATAGGTCCAACTGTAAGCTTTAAAGTTAAAATTTAATCCACGTGCAAAATGTCAGCCCAATTCATAAAGAGAATTTAAGTCCCACTTAAACCCTAGAAGAGCACTACCTGAGTTAGGTGCCAGGCCTCTGACAATGCGTACAACACACCTAAGCAAAAAGTCAAAGCATAACTCTGCTTTCTGCATTGGCTCTGTGCAAAAAAAAAGTTTTCACTGGTAAATCATCTGCACAAGCCTTGTATCAGCTGATATTATACCAAAGCACTTCTCTCTTCAGAACCTGATAGAGCCTTTTAATGTAAAGAATTTCAATCCCACAAGGCTGAGAGGCAAAGATGCCCCACTTGTAAGAGAAACATGTGCACCCTTGAACCACGACAGGAATCAAAGCCACAAGTGCTTACAGCTTAGTATCTAGAGGAGTAGAATAAAAGAAGGACTCAGGTTCTCAGTTTGTTTTAAATGACACAGAAGACAGTTGTAATTTATTTAAAGCTATAAATAAATGACATTTTTAATTGTTTGAAGAAAATGCAAACAGTCTGAACCTATAAGAAACGTGGGTACATTAATACTAGTAATGCTAGAGCTTCCTGCACATATAAAATTAGCATGAACTACAGCTGTCATGGCCACCCTGAACATGTTGCCTAGGAGTAAAGGAAAATTTAAAGAGAAGACTGATCCGTTTTACTCCAAAAGGAAGACTTGGAAGACAAGGGTGGGTACTGCCTCGCTGCCTAGTGCTTTGGGAATTATACAAGGCACACACAGCTACCAAAACAGGAATCAAAATACATCCAAGCGCCACTTTTTAATTCACCGTGAATTATTTTGCTAATAATCAAACACTTCGGGCTGAAAAAATCCCTAAGAGTTTAAAACTTGATCACACTGAGGAAAGCGAAGCTTGGTAAACAAGATGTTAGCTCAATCTCTGCCTGTTTGGGACAGGAAGAGATGTAAATAAAACACTGGTTTTGCTGCAGTCCCCATCAAATGCAGAAGAGCGTGTGTTACCGTCTTTGTTTTTAAATCACACGTCCTGAACCACTGCATCTATACAGACATTAAACTGGCACCCATCAAAAATATTTGTTCTCACGAGATCATTCTGTTGATAAAAACCATTAGGACAATCCCGTTGGCGGCAGCACAGCAGCTGCTGTGCTCTGGGGTGGCTCTGTCCAAACGCAGGCTGTATGCTCGCCTCGATGCCCTCCACGCAGGGCTGCTCCAAAGGCCAAAGGGACGCAGACTGGAGCAGGGGCACGCGCAGGTGGGAAAAAAAGAACCCGCTCTATTACAGCCCACAGCAGTCGAGAAAGAAGGAATCTGTCTCCAAACCCCAACGCAATCCTCGGTGAGGAGAAGCAGCCCGGTTGTTTCAGCGCGCACCCAGCCCGCCACGCGTGGCTGCGAGGCCCAGCACCGGTGGCGGCACACACCTCGGCCTGACCCCCTCTCCCCATTAATTGCATTACCCAGCCAGCTGGCTCCAGAGAGGAGTCGTCTGTTTGCCCGAAGAATTCCTGCTTGTGGGGAGGCAGGGCTGCTCCTTTCGCTAAGAAACAGTCAGGCCTGACATCCCCATTGTTTGGCCGACAGTGCGCCCATCCTAAAATCTAAGTTTTATTTGTAAATTAACCGAGAAACTTCCTGCCAGAACAGCGCTGCCTGGAGACTGATAATGTGTGCCTTTCATTCCCTTTCACTCTTACTGTATCACTGCCAATTTGTTTTTCTGCTGCTCGCCAGCCCTAGGCTATAAAAGCCTTGTAAGACATAAGTGCAATTATAGTCCTGGAGTCAAATGAATTGGACAAATCCAATAGCACAGCTCTGTCCCCACTTTGCAAACCCCTACAGCAGTTAGATTAGCTGCTAAAAATCTAATCTAGCTCCAGCTAACAAATTTCTGCAGCGAAGGAGCAAGAGTTCAGTATGGGGTTGCAAGCAGATTTCTGAATTGAAAAAGTTCTGCTATGACAATGGGGGAAGGTGGAATAAATCACTTGAAAATTTTGCAGCCCATCTTTAAACTGTTAGATGCAATTCAGTTAGAACAAGATGGGGGACTGCAGGATGCTGCTACTCTGATTGATTTTCATTCTTACCACGAGAAATCCAGATAAAAAAATTTAGAAACGGTGATGCTGAACCCTAGGAGCAGCAATAGATAGCAGCTGAATTTTTTTGTTCTGTAACTGTACAAGAAATTACTTCTTCCATGGCTGTTTTATTTGACTTGGGGTAGTTTCTATTTTCTGTTGGTGGTGGTGGCTCTGTTTTTTGTTCAGTTTTCTGAATGAACAATGTATCAGCCTACACTTCATATAAAGGTATACAAAGTACAAATTACTAATGCTCAAAAAGAAAGGTTTGAGGTCATTCTCAGTGGAAGTGCACTTATCCCTGTGAATTTACAGCAGAAATGAATTTATCCTCATTTTCAGTAAAAATAAAGGAACAGAATAACATATTAAGTAAAATTACTGCATTTGCTCCATTCCCTAGCCCACAAAACTTGTGGTCTGCTTTACTACTTCCTTGGCCAGCAGGTGGTAAGACCTTCTGTTCAGCTCCAGAGCTCGAGAGCCAAGCAAACTGACAGGTATTGAATTCTTTCTGTCTGTAGGCAAAATAAGCAAAGAAACCACAGAAATGACAAAGATTGAGGAGATAAGAGGGAGTTTAGGTTCCAAATAGCAACCACACAATGCTATCTGATGGAAGCACAAGGAAGGCAAGAAAAAGGTAATGTCTCTCTCCACTGCATCCCAAATGGGAGCATGATGACATTTTCTCCTCTCAGTAATACTGGTCTCTAACACCATATATTTCTTTTGTAGCAAAAACTAAAATGGAGCAGGTACTACATGCCTTTGAGTACTTCAGTATATGGCCTCCTTGCTGCCAAGATTCACAAGTGGAATTTCAGAGTTTACCTTTGAGGCGGTACGAGCTCTTAACCTGCAGCATGTTTAATACTGTCCTTAGAAATGGTCTGGATACATCATCATGCTAAAAGCACTAGTTTCAAATGTGAGCCATTTAATCCGTCAGTGTTGCCAATGACTCAGAGATCAGAAATTTTACAGTGTCTCTGAAATTCATATTGCTGTCCACTTTAGCTGCAGTTCAGTGAAGTTTGTTAAGAAGTCTGAGCTAATTTGCTCAGAAATGAATTCCAGTTTACCAAACAGCTATAGCAAATTAAATAAAGCTGTTTTGTTCAAAAGAATCATGGAAGATGCCACATTAAAGAAAACCCTGAAGTCATGCAGAGCAAACCACTGCTTACAGCAGGGCCAGCTCCCAAGTTCCATTGGTTTGCCCAAAGCTTTGTCCTGCCTTACAGGAATAGAGCTGGATCCCAACAGGATTTCTATTCCTATAACACATTTAAGGTCTCATTCAGCTCTAGAGCAACCACTTCAAGGTGTATTGTTTGGATAACGTGTACTGGAGCTGGCCTTGTTTCCTAACAGCTTAAGACCTGAAGACGGGAAAATACTAAATGCTTTCACTTTTTGTTTTTAGGGAAGATAACTAAATAGAATAACCAGACTATCCCCATGGCTCCATGGTTAGTTACTAATGTGAACAGGAATTAGAGGAATTAGTAAAACAGACTATTTGCCAGTAAAACACATTTTTTTTCCCCTAGGCTCTGTAAGAATGTGCATTTTCCCTCTCCAGGTGATACATTACTCAACAGCTAGACTAGATATTTCACTGTCTAAGCTAGGTAAAATGACCACAATTAGTCCAGCATAAAGACAGACTGGGAAAGAGATGGAAACAGACCTCAAACATGAGTAAGTCTGCTGCAAAGTAATCTGTTCTCTAGAACCATGTTAAGAATAAATGGGCTTAAACTGAAGCAAAGCAGATAATACAAAATATAGTTTCACGGTACAAAAAGTGAGGCCTTGGAGTATGTTGCTGAAGGAAATTATAAAGCATTCAGAATGGGAGTTTTTAACTAGTAGCTGGATAAATACCAGCCAGGAACAGATACAGACAATGAAAAACGGACAGCCCTACCATGGCTCAGTGACAGACTATTCTGTCTCTATACCTCCTTATACTAAACACTCTGATGACTGTGTAAATCTACTAATATGCAGATAACAAGATCCATACATGAAGATAATATGGAATTTTCTTGACTTTTTTTTTTTTTTTAATGAAGTATGTGAAGAAAAGAAAAGCTCCATCTTTACTGGGCAAGTTTTCAGGAGCGGTAACTGGAAATTCCACTTTTTTATTTCGAGGAAAAGATCATTTCAAAACTAGCTGCAGAACAAATAAAAATCATCTGGTGGTATTTATAGCTAATTTGCAGAGCACAACAGTATCACGTGGTACACTGGATGGCTGTAGTAGCATTAATGCACATTAACAACCTGTGTAGGACAAGTTGCCAATCCTAATTAAAATAGCAAAGATTTGCTATGCACCTAAAATCTTCTTTGACTAAGCAGCAGTTGGCAAGCAGCATAATCTCAAATCAGTCGTTAGGAAAGAGAAACCATTAAGTACTGATACCAATGAAATTTTGGGCTGGTTTCTAGCCATCTCTGAAGCAGAGTCTGCTTGTCACAACTGTGAATAACTGGATAATGGTTTTAAATATCAGCTGGCTGCTTTTACTCCTGTGCGTGTCACTTCTCTTTCACTTCTTTTCTTTTCTGGTACACACTAGACGGCTCATCTGTAAAGTTTTACTGTGCTGCATTTGGTTGTTTTGTTCTAGCACACTGCAGCAGTTTTGGCAGGCAGACAACACACAAATGAAATTATTGCTAATATTATTACTAATGGTGGTATTTAAGGCTACCATGGAAATGTTAATTGTGCTGCAGAATCCAGAATTTAGATGCCATTTAATTCAGATAATCTAGCTGCAGAGCACCATGTGGCACAGAAAAGAGAGCCTGCTAGGACGAGTCAGCACAATCTGCTCTGAGTACAAACCTTCATTTAAGCACACGAAATTGAATGCTTTCAAATACATACACAGCAACTGACTTACCTTTTTGGTCAGTGAATCATCTGAATCTGATGGCATTCTTGTAGACACATGAAAAATGATTTCCACAGTAGAGGTAGCATAATAGGGTGCTGTTTGTCCAGTGCTGCCATTGCGCTGCAGGCCGCCCATAAACCCACCGTGTGTGGAGAGATCAACCTAAATGATGGACAGTCATAATCAGAAAAATGTATCTTTTCTTAAGGACCAGTGAGTAACCCGACTTATTTACAAACCAGCAGCTGGTGGGATTGTAACCATCCCAAAGGAAGATAAATCTTTCCGTACAGCTTTGTCATCTCAGCGTTAGATCTGTTGGTTTCCCATTTTGTATCTGACATTTACTCAAAACAAACAACTCTCAACTACGTTCCTATTAGGCTATTCTGCCTTCCTACCAGCAATGGAACAACAGAGCTGTAGGGCTACATGTGGCTCAGCAAGCCCACCCAAAGCATACACAGCGAGAGCTAATTAAAAGGTGCAGAGAAAACGTAAGCACTAAGGACATCTGTACAAGAAATTGAGATTCCAAACTAAAAGAAACATTCTAGAGGAAATTATTCTAAAAGATAATTCAGAGAAAACGCCCTTCTGAAGACAACTCTGTGTCTAAAATTTATGTTTTCCCAGCTGCATCAGTCCAGTTGAAGATGCTACCTCTCCTCAGAGACTTTACTTCTCTTAAATTGTTAGATGTGAAATACAGCTACCGTGTATTTCCCCTCCAAAAACATAAATGCCAGTGTCTTTTAAGTTACCAACATATCATTTGACAAAAGCAAACTAAACTCAAGTGTTTTTGCCTTTAGTGCAGCAGTCCTTTGCTTGTGTAAGTGACCCAACCATGTGAAGAGCTAAAACGAGCTACAATTAAGGTAAAATTAAGCTACAGCTTTTAACAATGCAGAAAGCATTCTTAAAATGACCACTGCAGCACCACCTGCCCATCAGAAACAGGATGCAACAACAGTGATAACAAATTATGAAATTATATTATAAGGGATTGCACTTTGTGCTTGCTAAGCATGCGCAGCAAACAAGTGAGGTAGAAGTGCTGTACACCCTGCTGGTGAAAGGCACAAAAAAAAGGAAGAATTCCTTCTTCAGTCACTCTGACAAAAGCTCTCAGGACTTCTGCCAGGTGGACAATCTGACCACCACTGCAACCTGATGAGAAGCTCTGGAAAAACTCTCTGAAGCATCCAGTTCTCTCAGCTGAGTTAATGGTGGCTAGAAAAATCTGACCAAAAGGCAGAGAAAAAGCAAGGAGGGGCATAAAGTCAGTAAAGGTTTTGAAAATTAAAGAGATGGGAAATTGAACAACAGGGGAAACATTATTCATTTAAAATGTTACAGACCTGGGACACCACAGGCCTGAGGATTGAAATTCACCTTCCAAGCAATATCCATTAAAGCAGAGAGAATGGAAAGACGTTTACTTCCAGCTTCACGTGACCATGTCACACATTAGCCTAAAAAGCATCCTCTTTGTATCCTGTAATACAACATTCTCCTGTTCCCCATTTCTGATAGCTAACAGAAGTCTTTAATAACCTACAATATATCCCAGCTTGTAGAAACGATGCAAACATCCAAAACATTTGGATTTACAGAATTCTGCCAAATAAAATGAGCTTTGAAGTACTGCTAAATATTACTGTGCATTAAAATTTACTTTTCTTTTTCAAGAATTAACAAATGAGCAGGTATACAAGCAGCTTGTTCTCCATTCACCTACTTTAACTGGCTTACATTTGATTTTCATAGGTCTTCAAATCACGATTTTGCCTAAATATGTGATTTTACCTCCCAACCCAGTCCAGCAACAAAATCTTCATATGCCTGGCTTCCCCTGGCATTGGACAGTATTGAACATTTGTCCTCCTGTCCTTCTGCAATGTAAAACACTGCAATCTTGTGAGTTTCACGGCTGTAATTAGATAAAACAAGAAATGAGAATTACGAAAAGTGCAAGAGGTCAAATTATTCTTTACATCACCTGCACTCTAAAGCCACGTTTCACTCTATGCCTGCTCCTTTGATGCACACAAATGCATCACTTAACTTTAGAATTACGTACGTTCATCTTTTTTTTTCTTTCCCTACAACCACACTGCAGAGCCACTGCTGTTCAGAGAGCAGAGCAAGGGCCATTCTTTCTGTGCATCAGCCAAAGAACTGATGATCAAGTTCCAATTACAGGGTTAATCACTTACATCTGTGCAACCTTGCTGAAGACAGTAATACTGCACAGCTGTTAATGAGCTGTAAAATCTGACCAACAGAACTTTAATTATGGAGTAATGATATACGAGAAAGAAAAAAGCATGTACTGACTTTTAGCTCCTGGGATGAGTTTTACTAGGCTGATGGTTACAACTGATCTGGTATGAAAATTGTTGGAATGCAAGAAAATCAGAACTCTACAATTCTGCAAACGTGCCAAGGAATGAAAATGAAACGTAATATTCAGAACTCTATTCTACCTGGCTCTAAAAGAGTGAAATGAAGATTATCCCTTAAAAGTATTGCTCTTGACAGAGGGATCAATGTGCAGAAAATTCCTTTGGGTGAGTCGATGCAAAGTCATCAAAAATTCTGCAACTTCTTCCCTCCCCTCTCAGCTAAAGAAGACAGGAAACAGGCTGGTGTGTCTCACTGCTGGTTATTTTGAATTCTATGTACACAGTACCATTGAAAATAGCTTGTCTGGTCAGGTGCTGCAACTTCTTAGTAACAAAAGTTCTGTGTTTTCCTACAAGTTTTTGTACTGCTAGCATATGCAATTTCAGTGATTGGTTTTGGTGATGTACTTACTCTTTCTTGTGAAACCCTGAGCTAGTAAACATCACCTACCATTGGCGAGAATCCAGATTTTTCAGTTCTCTCAGTAATTTTGAATTTTTCTTAAGAAGGTGAAAGCTCTTCCTGTAAATATATAAAAATAATTAGGAAAGAAAATGCAATAAGGGATAGACTATTTTCTCATTCAAATTCCTAAGAGAAGGGAATCAATTTAGCGTAACTTAATGAAAATCCATTTTCTTTCTACTCTAAATAATCTGCAGCTGCCTGCAAAAAATATTCATGGATGCAGGTATAAGTAAAAGTTCAAAACTGTGCTCTGACTACCAACCAGCTACACAATTCTTGCCTTTTTAAGTGTGCATACATTTGAAAGTAGAAGAGAGCAAAATTTACCTTGAAAATCATCAGACTCATAAGTAAGTTATAGAATTTCAGACTAAGAAGTCTTCCTGGGATGACTGCAAGTCACAAGAGCAGAACTACAGCAGGGGGGGGGACAGTGTGTGGATCTGGATTATTTTTTGGGGGTCAGAAGCTGGAAAAGCACAGTAAATGTGTCCTGAGCCCTCCGTTCCTACCTTCTATCCCAGGAGTTCATTCCCAAGTCGTTTAACAACAGCCGACAGAAATAAAAGGATGCCTGAGGTTCAGCAGGACGCGGTTCTTCCTGACGGGCCACCTTCATACTGAAGTCTGAGCTGCATTTTAAAATGTACTCGTTTTCCTGGGTACTCTGCCTCATCAGGGCTTCAGTGATTGCATTCTCTTGCTCGCAGCTCATTCCAAAGGGCGGTGGCGATGGCTCATTCAGCTTCCGCTGGGGATGTAAAAGGCATTCAGGACTAGTGTTACCAATCCTCTCCAGTAATTTGTCAAGAGCATCTTCTCCTTCTTCCACCTGAGAAATGTCTTTTTGGGAACTGAAGTGGTGCTCGCAGCTGCCTGAAATCACAAATGAGTTTGCTGTGTTCTGCCGCGGAAGGCAGCCCTCCAAAGGTCCATACAATATTCTGCCATCCCAAGAGTACTTCCCTGAGATATCTCTGACAATTACCCTTACATCCGAGGGGGCTACTGCTGGCTCAGTGTCTTTCCTTTTGTCTGCAGGAATTTGGAGGTATGATATAAGAGTACTGTCATTAAACACAAAGAGCTGAAGGTTGGGGCTCCGGAAGACTTCTGATGACAGCTCAGAGGATTCCACATATGAGTTGTCATGATTCTCACTGAGGAGACTGTGGAGGATGGCAGGACCTCCGCTGAGTGGGTAGTGGCTCAAATGATTCACCAGATGAGTCATAACCATCCGTGCCGTCAAAGGTATTAGTTCTAAGTTCCTTCTCCTTTTTTCTGAAACAATCAATAGAGGTAACAGATCAGTAAAACCAACAAGAGGTAATTAAAAATAGCATCTGCTAATTTCTGGCTTGTTTTAGAAGGTTATTCTCACATTCATTCCTTTCCAAGACACTATTTACAACCACTGCCCAAGCAATTCCACCCACCACACATCCTTACTCAGCACTCTTTGAAATTTAGCTTTCAGTGACATCCAGGTCTTCATACAGTTTGTAAGAAACACACGCAGCACTGCACAGGGGGCCACAACCCCTGCTGCTATCACTGCAGTTTCACCTGGCACCTTAAGGTGATCCTCCTCACCTCCCACATTCCCATAGTCGTCACCACAGCAGTCAGATCAAGAGAGGGACAGAGGAAAAGAAGCAAAAGCAATGGAGAGGTGCAATTAAAAACCATTGGTTCTCCACTTGTAGCAGTCATTTGAAAACAGCATCGTGGTAAAGTTCACCGCATCAGGTGAGAGACTCTCTGGATCCAAAGACAGGCCCTCATCACAGGCAAATACATCACAGTTATCTCAAACCAGCAGGGCTCTGGAGCTGTGTTGTGCCTCCAGTTCCTCTACTGGAGCACTGTTTCATAGTTATATCTCACTTATGCTCAGATTTTTTCTCTTTTTTATGGTAACTTTGTTCATATTCAGCTTAACTTTGTTTTTTTTCTTCAGTTTACAGTGTTTCTTTCTTTCTTTATACCTTCTAATATACTTCTAGACAACAGGTATATATATCCCTTTTCAGCTTTCATTTTGCTAGCCTCCAAAAATTCTTCAGCCTCCCTCTCAGAAAAACAGGCTCCACACTCTTTCCGTGAACTCCCAGGTAGTAAATCTCTGCCTGCTCCAGTCTGAATTTCTTTTTTAAACAATTAACCTAAAACAATTGTAGACCACTATCATCTCTGAGATGAGAAATATCTTGTTCTAACTAAAACAACAAACACACCTGGCATGGACCCTTATCTTCCTGCTATTCACAATGCCCCTACTCAGCAAGAGATCTGTGTAAAATCTTTGTGTTTCCTTTTTTTTTCTTCTAGTTTAAACTGAAAACATGTATACAGAAAAAAAGAAATTAAAAAGCTGTAGGACTCAAAAACAGTGAAGTAGTGAAGTATCAAAAACTGAATGCTATTTTAAAGCAACATTCTAAAACCAACAATTGCTTGTACTACTTAACACTGCACCTTTACTTTAGATTCTTCTGCAGAAATTAACTAAGGCATATTAATACATGACAATATTTAATTTGTAGTTGAACAGCTGCTGCTTTGAAAACTTGTAACACTTTGAAATAAAGGTGGTTTCTAAGATAAAACACTTAAAAATTGCTTCAATATGTTTGGATACATACTTGAGCTGCTTTTAAGGAGTGTCTAACACGATGCAACCAGATCCAAATAATCTCTTTTCACTTCTGACACTGGCAGCACTGTGAGTCAGCAGGAATACTGCATTTATGCAGCTGCAGAATTGGGTTCAAATCACACATGTCATTCTGCAATCGCTCAGAACAGGTAAATCACGGAGTCATTTCTAATAAAAGATTCAAGAAAGGCTGCTGCACGCTCCCAAGAGAAACCTGATTTAGAGCTAATCTCAGCTGTTGACTCTGACATCCCAGCACAGCTGGTCCTCATCACGCTCTGTGAATTCTCCTACCTTCAGCAACAGTGAGCAGGTTGCCCAGCTCGGTGGCAGAGTGGCACTGGGCTGGCTCACAGCTCGTGACATTCTCCAGATGCAGAAAGGGGTCATAGTCAGCAGACGACAGATCCGCAAGGCTCAGCACGTAATGGCTTTGCTGGGTGTACGTGCTGGAGCCGTTCACACAGCAGTGCAAAACCTGTGAGCAGACAAGCGCGGGATTGAGGGAGTGATGAACAGTCAGCAGTACCAGCTGTGTACCAGGAGTGACCCACTGTGATTTCACATTATGAAAGCCAGCACATGCTACAAAAACATCCAGTTTGGTGCTTTTACAATAACTCTCTTTTTTGTTGCTTGTTCTGTACTTTAACAGTTCACTTCAGGACTTTTGTATTTAATAACTTGTGCATTTTAACAGGCCACTCCAAATTATTCTAACACTTCTGCTGAGATTACTTGCTCTGGATCCCTGCTGTTGAGCGTTTTGTCTTTCTCTTGTCATCATTTTCTGTGTTCCACATCTCTACCTCAAATAAACCACTTTTCTTTTCAAGATCCATCACATCGACCTTATTGTTCTTAGTATTTTCAATTCTTGACTTCTCACCCGTATGATTTTGCCCACACCCTGAGAATTCATGTTTCTCTACAGCATGCTTCAAAATCCTCCTGTGCCTAGGAGGATTTGCAAAAAGCATCTTTAAACTTTTAGGCATAATAAATCATGCTCATTCCTCATACTCACTCTGTAAATATAGTCCAGTAAAGGAGCTTTGGATGCATGCTGATCTTCAAGGACACCAGCAGACACTGGCTCCAGCAGCATTTTCATAGGTAATGCCATACACCAATCCAACAAGCAAAGTAGCAATGAAACTATAAACTAAACAGAAACAAATAGCATGGTATTTAGGTATTATCTATCAAATCCACACATGCTTAAATGCCTGCACTTGAAAGGTTGAAATAAGATTGGTTCAAAGCCACTTCGCTCAATGATTTCCTCAAACAGCACAAAGAAAGAACAGAAACTCCTCACTTTGGTGACGTACCTTTTTATCTGCCTCCACACAGGAGTATTCAGCACTTGGCAGAAGAAAAGCAATAGTGGCCACAAGGATCTACGTGAAAAGAAGCAGAATTTGAGCACAACGTTTAATATCTTTCACTATAAAGGCAGAGAACTAACTTCATTTGAACAGGGCACGAAAAAGGGTAAAGTCTCTTAGAAGCATTTAGCTGCCCTTGTAAATCAACACACAGGTGAAACAAAGTTTTGCTGAGCATTTTGAAAATAAAAGATGAGTAATGCATGCTGCTCTTCCAACTACAGCAAGTAAAACTCTTAACAATACTTGCAGAAGAAATTAACAGACAGTTGGGGTTCCAGCAGCTCAAGTAAAGAATTAAGACAACTTTACATATGATTTCCATACAAATATCTTAAATTGACATACTTCAGTAATTTTTCTGGGCAGGGATGATTCATACTCCTGCAGCTTTTGCCAGTAAGAAACAAGCAGCTGAAGAACATCATTGGCTACCTGAGCTACCAGTTTATTAGAAAACTGGAAGAGAAGAAAAGGTAGTTAAAAACAAAACAAATGTGTAGGTACCATACAATGCAATTTATTTTTCTACTTCTTAAATTACTCTCCATCCATACAAACAACAAAAAATGGTATGCAAAATCACACACTCAGCATTAGGGAACAGCAGACAACATTAACTGCATAGTCTTAAGATTATAATATCATATTCTCTTATTTTATATATAGGAGTCTCTAGCTGCATATTCACATGCCATTTTTGTAAAAACTTTGCATTTCTATACAGGATGTCACAACTGCCCCATTGAAGAACTGCACATTTATTCTTAGCAACTTCAAAGGAGCAGTAAGAATCTGGAGCACTCTGACCAGAGATAATAAACTACTACGTATATGCAAAGCTTCAGAACCAGAAGGCATTTTCTAGATGATGGCCAATGTCATTCCTAACATTATGCAGAGATCTCGAGTAACGTCCTGACATTCTTTAAGCAACAGAGACCAACTGTGCTCCTGTAACCTGGAACAACTGTTCCAAAACTTCAAGTACCATTTTCACAAAATGTATGTTAACTACAGAGACTGCTGCAGTATTACCTTCAGTGTCACACCTATGACATTGATTGCTTCCTTCACTTGAGGGTGGTTTGTGCACTGTGTTAGTTCTTCACATATCCAAACTCCAAGGCCACAAATGGCTATGCATCTTTTTTGAAAGAGACAATATTTTTGTCAGAAGTTTTAAGAGTCCAGTTTTGCTTTACCCTTCATTCTTCCCAAATTTGCACTTTGGAATGAACCACTCCTCCATCAGACAGTAGCTATCATTGTACAGCTGCACTATATAGTTCCTAACAAAGAATCTTGAAGGAATTTGTCAAAGACTATTCCTCAATCAATCAGGAAAAAAAAAAATAGCAACAAACCAACAAGCCCAATACACCTAAGATATGATTTCTTCCCATTTTAAGCATATTTTAAACAGAACAGACTTTGGAAGTGCAAGGCACTTAACCACAATATATGCCATCTTTGGGAAACAAATATTTTTCCTTCAAAGTACACAAAATATAGGCAGATCCTGTAAAAGAATGAGCAAAGATGGGGAAAGCAATGTACAAAGATCTCTTTTACCTCCCCCAGGTCACACAATAGGTCAAGATCTTAACAGTACAGGATGGACTTTATCTCAACAGGGCTGCAGAACTCAACAGGTCAAAACACAAGGTGTAAAAAAATTCAGCTGTACAGTGACTGAAAAATCGGTAGGGAGAAAGACTTCTGACACTCTTATTTTTCACTTTACTCAGTATTTTACCTTGCAGCTTCACTTGGCTCCTCTGTAGCATTCTTCAGTAAAATATTAATGAGGTAGCACTAAAACAATACAATCAATTAGAATAAGTGACTTTTTCATGTATCCACTTTATTTCTAATTGTTTAATTTTGACGTAATCACAGACAAAATGAACTCTAAGTCTCAGGCTATTTTAAAGTACTTACACCACAAGTTTAATTTGTCAAAGGAGAATTACTTACTCATTATAATTCAGGTATACAGACCCTCGTGGATAAATCTAATCGACTCAAAATCACATACAGGCAGCGCGATGGAAATCAGTTCATTTTCAGAGTCGGCAGGTATTACTAACTGGGAGTATTCAGCACTTCCTAATATGATATGTGGTGTTCAAGCATTAAGGGAGCCACATTTTGAAAAAAATCAGTGTCTTCTTTAATACTTCTGATAAGAGTCTGGGGCCTAATGAACAAATCAAGAGTGGGAGCTGCATGCGTTCTCTCCATTTTTACCTTCAAAAGCCACAAAAGGAATTCAGAGATTCCTCCTTACCTTTACCTAATCTTTCTGCAGTGGATTAGAAAAGTGCCTCACATTTATTGAGGCTAGTACAAGGCTAATTGAGCGGGTTTCACCAGCAAGTGATGCTCCAGGTCATATTTGTTGGGGTCTTTGGTGGAGAGAGTGTGTATTTTTTTCTCCTTCACGATTGTTTTTGCTAAAGCCATTGAATTACAAAGCTTTCCATCCAGTAGAACAATTAACATCCCAGGGTATCTCACTGAAATTACTTATTGGACAAAGATAATTCATGTAAAGCTAGGGGTTCTGTCTAATTGGGGAACTTACTTAACATTTTACTATAATACCAATAAGGCAAAAACTGTGACCCCCTTATGCACACCCCACACTTCTTAGAGGACAAGCTAATATACAGACATGCACTGAATGGACACTTTAAATAATACCACCACCACCATTTAATGAATTGACATTGCAGACATCTGGCTGGAAAACACAATATTTGATTATAGCCAATTCACCCTCTTTGAAAGTAAAATGTAATTTGTACTATCTAGGCTTCGTTAATCTTATGGTGCACGTTAAGCAAAGCAATGCTTATCAAGTAAGTACATATGTGTGCTGTTGTGGTTTGGAGAAGAAGGAGGGATTTATTATTTAAACAAAAGGTGTACAGTAAAAATAAAGTGGTTAAATAATAAAGATAGGTTAGGCTACACACAGATCTCCTAATGAAGCGTGGCTTTACCTTTACATCGGCACTCCCCGCAATGATCTCACCAGCTTCTGAAATGGGCTGCAATAGTGGGATTTCTTGATAGATATTTGGAAAGCAAACAAGAGACCCAAGGATGGTATGGGCTTCTGAACGGGGAGCCTAACAAAACGGAAAAGTAAATGAAAATATTTTCTTCTTTCAGCATAGATCTGGCACTGCTTGTACATTTTTGGCCTGCTGAAAAATACATCACACACTAAGTTCTATGCTTGCAGCATCAATGAGGTGTTTTGGGTTTTTTTAGAACACTTTCCATGGAAAGTGGAGCTTTCATTCCTTGTTAGCATTTTAAGCTTTCTCAGTAATCGGGCTGATGAGGTTTTGTTTTTTTTTTTAAAGAGATGCCAATAAATGAACATCTGTAAGTGCTTTGAAGGACAATGCAGCAAGGCTCACTGCTTCACTTCTGCTGAAACCCGAGAGGTCTGTGTCCCCAAGCCATCCGCTCAGCAGCACAGAGCAGCACTAAAAACATGCGCTCAAAATGGACAGAAAGGTCTCCTTCAAATGCAGTTCCAACACTTCCCTTTTTGTTCCAGGACTGTCGGGTCATTATCCTTATTTCGGCCTCCATCCTTACTTTGCTCTTTTATTTGCCTTCGTTAATCTAATCATTTATAAACCTATTTCTGTTAGCGTTGACACTCGGCAAAACATTCTGCATCACCCAACAAGCTCCGTGCTTTCAATAGTCAGTGAAAAACACTAATGGGATTCTGAAATCTAAGCCCTGCTTTTAGCATGCAAACATGCTGCAGCGTTGGTGAGGATATGATTTCTCACACTTTGGCCTTTTGATGAAACACCTTTGCAATAGTAGTGTGTCACCCTACCCCTCGCTTTCACGCATCAGCTGCCATGGTATCTGCCCCAAGAGCCCTGGCTGGCATTGCACTAATGAGCCCACACCTGTTGGAGTGCAGACATCCCAAGCTCATTAGCAAGCAGGCTCCCAGGCTGGGCATTGCCATGCTCACCTCCAGCAGGTCTGTGCTCAGCACTCTGGCTGCTGCTGTGATGAAGTCTCCTATCAGCATCGTAAAGCCAGGCAAGCCCAGGAAGAAAAACCAAGGTGGGCAATGCTTTATGACAGTATTCAAGATATCCTGAAAAATGAAGAGAAATTACCTGCTTGAGAAAGAAATGACTAAAAACACCCACCAAACCCACCAAAACCCTAAAGGGGGAGTTGGAAGAGATTTAAGTTGGTAACTGACCATTTCCACACTCATCCAAGTGATGTTTCACTGAGCCACACATAACAGCGATACAAGTGCTTTTAGCAGAAAGAGTGTTCAGTATCACTGTGACACTGAGAGTCTGAAATTCCTATTAAAACAAACACCTGCCATTTCCAAGTGTAAAACAATTGTTCTCTGGTGAAACAAGGCTTTGGATTGAAGACAACCAAGCTGTTAATCAATTTAAGATGGATGTTTTATCCCATTCCAAATGAGTTTTGTTTGCTTTTTTCCTAAAATCACATTACTCTGAATTCTGCAGCCATAAAAATAATGAAATGACACAAACTGCTTTTGCCTTTTCCCAAAGGAGCTCAAAGCAGGTAGCTTACAACTGCTGGCAGCTCTAGCATGTCAGGGATTTTTCAGCCCCTCTGGGCTAAGTTGAGAAACAGTGAAGTCAGATGCAAGAAGCGATTGCACTCAGCACAGTAACACAGATAAACCTGTGTTAACTAGATTGTTACAATCCACTATTCTAAATAATTAAGATAACGGGTAAGCCTTGGGGAGGGAACATTTGATGAAAGTCTTTTTTTATTTTTTACTTGGGTTTTTTTTGTGTTCTTTTTTTTTAAAGCCTGCACTGCATCTGTAGGAGCAAACCACCAGGAACAGATTGCTCTCATAATCACCCTACGACACAGAAAACATCTGAGTTAAGCATTTCAGCTTGAATCCTTCCCCAGGTTTCATTCAATTCTTCAGACACTTCAGACAGAGACAAGTTCCATATTTAAGTTTTCCTTATAGGAGATCTGCAATCGGGCATAAAGCTAAATCTTCACCTGCTACATTACATAGTTTAATAAATTTATTTGCATACCGATTAGCAGATTATTTCTGTTCTCGATAAAATTTCAAAGAAAAATTGCAAAGGAAAAACAATTTTCTGTGTCTGCCCTTACTACTTTCACGATGTGGCAGTGAAGAGTTCAATGTTAGCCCCACAATGTGTCCTTATGCTAAGCTTCTACATCAGAAGCAAAAGAAGTCAGACGGATTTTTCTGCCTGAAGATACGCTTTAGCCACACCAGTGTTTTCTGCGAGCATTGCTCAACACCTGGACAAAACTTATCTATGGTTTGACTGAGCGTTTACAGCAGCAACATCCTATGGAATAATAGCATTATATATCTAAAATATTAGCAGATAAATATCGCTCGTTTCTAATGCAGCACCACATAATGCTTCCACTTTCCCGAATTAGCTAGAATGCCACTCGAGTTAATGTTTAAACTAGTTTTAATCACTTCCTTTGATACATTTTAAAGTCAATATCAGTCAAGGCAAACATTCAGAAAGAGAGAGCAGATGGATGCGGCAGCTCATAAAGCGGGTGGTAAACTCCTGCTCGGAGCAGAACAAAAGACCCACCTTTTCATAATTAAGGGGCTGATTAATGCACCACGCTCCTCGCAGCACAACACACCTGTAATTACGACCAGAGCCAGGTACTGCGATGTGTTTGGTCTCTGAATAATTGGGCATCAAACTATGGAGCGGCAGATGGGAGCACACTCCTGTTGACATATGCCACGATAAAAGAGCCCGGGCTAACCTGGCTTAAAAGGTAACAAAACGTAGGAAGTACAAAGAGCTGCTACAAACAAGCGCGTTAACTCCTGCCCTCGCTCCATCAATCCCATCTGTTAAACACCGCTGTAACGACTGCCCTGCTTCCTCAGCTCCGGCCGCTGCCCTGAATGGACGTTTCAGAAAATGAGGGTAAAGAAATGTCAGTGAAAGCCCTGCTTCAGCACCTCCATACCTGTGAGTGCACTGCACCATGCAAGGATGGCAACTGCTTCCTTTCAAACAGGACAGAATATGTGCTGAACATCTCGTACCTGACTTGAGCTTGCTCCAAACAGAACAGATTGGAAAGATACCACCCCCCAGGAAGGCACTTACTGGTAAAATCTGACAAATTTGCTTCTATTTCCCAATTAGCACGCTTTGCTGTGCAATACAGCTAACAAGAGAAGCGTGATTTCACGTAGTAATTCAGTAGCATTGCAAGCTTATCAAAAGATTCGGGTTTATGAGAAAGCAACCAAGTGAGAACATATGTCCTATCAGTGATATTGCAAAAATCAGGTAATTCAAACACAGGCAAGTTGCTTCCTTCCCTCCGAAGCGCAGTTCTATAAATGTAAACTGTGTTCAGCAGCGTACAGCCTAGTAAATGAATCACTTTAATTGAATGCTATGTACACAGTAACTGGAAAAACACAAGCAATAAGAAAAACATATGGTGATGGCAATAGAAATTGGTTTACTCATTCTGTACAGCGTTGTTTCTTTACTTCTTTCATAATTGACCTTTAGAACGATAAATGTGTAAAATAATTTTGGTTTATTATGGCTCCAAACCTTTCAGCAATTACACAAAATGAAAATTTAAAAGGAAGCATTCATTCTGGAAGCATTTCCATTGTTTACATAATTGCACAGCTGTAATTTAGTGTTCATGTTGTTAAAGAAAAGTGAAAAAAAAAGGACCATTATGGACTATTTCAATTCAAAACGATGCTCTGCAGCGTTAAAAAAGAAGAGGGAAGAGAAGGGAGCAATCACACGCATGTCCTTCTCAAATGGATTAACCCTATAAAAGGCATAGTATTTCAGTATAGGGTAATCTAGTAATCCAAATAATAAGGTCATAAACATCCAGCAAGTAAGTGAAAAAAGAAAATGATGCAAGTTCACCAGAAGGTCAATTTCAGAAATATTCGTCACCTAATTTTTGTGCAAGGTTTTGCAGATTACAGGTGTAACTAAATAGCCTGCCATCTGCCTTCCTCACGTTTCCAGCTGTCCCTCAACAGGAACAACATGGATTTTCCTCTTAAAGTTCACTCTGTTCTTGCCTCAGACACACCTCATTAGAGGCTGACATTTACAGCACAGGAAAGATTATTCATTTAAACAGGACTTAAAGTGGCAAATCCTTCATTTTCCTCTGCTTGGAAGAAACAAACAATTCAATTTACTTATTCCAAGTAACGTTACATTTTAGGTGTCAGCTTGTCAAAAATTAAGTTCCAATAAAAAGTTACAAAGAAACCTGACACACTCCAAAAGCACAGTGCTTATCTAAAAACCTACATCAATCTGACCACCAAAGAAGTTACATTTTGTGACTGCATGTAATAGAAAGAGAGATTAAAAACCGGAACAACTCAATTTAGAAAACAGATGACAGATTACTGTGTAAATCACCTGCTGGTGATCGTTCCTCCCCTTCTGAACTGCATTAGGAAGCTCTTTTAGAGACACATTTAAAAAATAAAACCAGGCAGCAGTGCAGAGGTGAACCACCTAGAGCAAGGTGCATTAGGCAGGGGAAAGTGAGGAGATGTCTCTGCTAGCAGAAAGCATGGCTCCTAACATGGGCATCACCTGGGTCTGCCTTTCCTCTGGTCCATCCCTGCAACTGTTTTGCTCCAATACCACCAGTGCACTCTAATGGGGGTGAGCAGTGGGGTATGTGGTGCACTTCAATAAGCACAGAAAGGGGGGGAGATTACAAGAGGGTAAAAATTATATCTATTGGAAGAATGTCACAGCAAACTAAAATATGTGAATCTAAGTCTCGTGACACAGAGACTATATTATGATTTATCTTTTTTCTTCTTTAAACTGCGGTCTGGAGAGAAATTGAAAATTGTTAACGTTTCTGAAATGCTGTACAACCAAAGGTTCTCGTGTGAAACATCACCAGGCAGAAATCCAGGCAAGAAGCACTTACTGCACTGTGTACACAAGAGAGGCTGCTCATTTCTTGTGCCTTTTGGAAGAGGATGCCACACACACAGGGCATGTTCCTGTGCACAGCACTCAGACTCTGCAGTCACAGGGCTGATCCCACTCCTCAGTACAGAGCAACAGCTTCACAGAAACTCTGAAAAGTCTACAAGGACTTTTTTTCTTTTTTTTTAAACTTCAAATCAGTGTTCATATAAGCAGGTAATTCTTCTCCAGTAGCAGCTCTAATATGTTTCATATTCTAAACCAGCAATCATACACAAAGTGTGCTTTCTCCATATGCTCACTATAGAAATGATGGAGCTTCCTTTCTATAATTGCCAACAGCATACATTAAACAAATTAAGAGGCTTATAGACAAGCATAAAGCACATTATTGATAAAGTATTCTCCCTTCTACCACTGAATGGAATCAAGCTAAGCAGTGCCATTAACTTCTCCATCGTAGCTGTGCTGCGTGCTGAGGGCTTGTGCTGTTCTACAGGTTGAAAACTCACTGTCTGTGTGCTGAAATTTAATCACCAAGGACATCTGTCAGCCTATTTGGACCTGGGTTTTTCCTTCCATATTTAAGGTTAGTCCTGCACTTAATATGACTGAACAAACAAGCAAAATCTCTGAAGTACGTATTTTTAATTGTGTTCCTTAATATTTCTTTACAAAGCAGTCTGTTCCAAAGATATGCTGGCAAGCCAATTAACCTGTAAATGTATTAATCATTAAAGCTCCCTCCAAAAGCCAGGGATAGAACTATCCTGTTAGCTCACTTTTCAGATAACAGCCTCTACTTCTACTGGCCGAAACCGTGGTGGCACACGTTGTCAACAGATTACAGCAAGCACAATAACTGATGCCAAAGCCCTGGTAGCAGGATGAGATTCTTCCCAACAATGAAAAGCTGGTGAGATATTGGAAGATTTCCTCCTCTTCTACAGCGTAAGCACAGGTGAGCATTCAACTTTCATTGCAGCTCTTCTCAAACTGAAGATGTACATTTAGACAGAAAGAAGTCAGAAATCCACAGAAGTTTTAGGAAAAAAAGATCTACTGGAAGGATTGTCATTACCAAAAGTATTAGCAATTCACTAATCAGAATTCTCTCAGTGCTTCTTTTTCTGAGAAAGGGGCTCAGTAGCATAAGTAGAATTTTGGAATAGCGTTTCAGTACTTCTTCCAGGAAAAAAAAAAATGAAAGCTATAAAACAAGGAGAAGCTTATATATACTTTTGCAAGTTCCTGAAGCCAAAAATTTCTGCTACAGTAAGCGATCAGCAGCAATAATAAAATGCATTTATTCCCTACACTCAAGCATTTGTAAAATTTGTGCACTGCAATAGTAGATATTTTTATAAGGTGTATGTATGCATCATCCAACTCAAAACACATTAATGGACATTAAGTGATGGACACATTAAGTGCTGGAAGCTTCTCAACCATTAACCCACCCAGCAGCGTCACACACAGTTACTGCCTGAAATGCAGTAGGTTCTCCTTTGGAATCTTCTAAATTTCCCCTCCCAAGAACATTTCACAATTCTCTGCAACCTACACCAGGAACTGGGAGTATGTAATTGTGACCAGGATGGCTTTCCTGAAGCTGTGGACTGAGTGACACGGCAAAGCAATGGCTGCTGCTGGGAAAGACCTAGCCGCTCCTTTTGCCGCTGCTGCCTGACTGTGGAGGTGCCAGAGGAAATACCACACTTCAGTCTGCCTTGCACAGGTGTGATGCTATAAAGCCCCTGAAGGCGTTTCAAGGCTGACAGACCCCATTGATTTGAAGGGTAAAAGGGCTGAATTTAATACAAACAGTCCTGAGGCCATTTCCTGCACCACATCTGAGCGATGCTTGATACATCATCTTCTCAGGATTTGCAGTCAAGCTCTGGATGCAAGCAGAATCACTGCCTTCACTGTCTTGTGAACACAGCATGTAAAAAACAAAACATCAACTCACTTTCCTCTGTCAGGAAGCGAAGGTGCAGAATTCCAGTCAACTTCATAAAAAATGATGGTAAAATTTAAGACCACTGACTTAAGTGCACAGGAAGAGAATTAGCATCACACAGTCACTTGTCCCCTGATCCCAGGGCACATGGCACACTGGAACAGCTCCCAGTGCCAGCCTGTAAACTTGCTTCTCCCACCTGAAAAGGTGATGCAATTGCTACAGAGAATTGTTCACTTCTTCCTATAGAGGTGCTGTCGTTAGACACTTAGCCATGGACAAATGAGATGCAGCTCAGTTACATCACTATCTCCTTTCTCACCAGCTGAGCTAATTGCTAAATCTTGAACTCAGAGTGCCATGGGATCTTTTTGTCAAATATACTCTCATAGTGCTCTTTCAAATGCTCCACAAGACAAGTTTGTGCAGAAAGGTTGCACTTGCCATAAATTACAATGTATTAAGTACTGAATGCATTCAAACATGTACTATTTTGCTTTCTACCAACACCAAAATCTAAACAAGAAAGCAGTAATTTTGTATATTTGTGTTGTTAAGGGAGGAGACAAAATAGAATTGAGGAATGTAGGATAAAAGGAATGAAAACAGTCCACAGACTTGAGCAGAAGGTTTGCATTCTCCCCAGTCTGGGAGGAAGCTTTTCTCAGCCAGGTAGCTGCCTGTGTCTATTGAAATAAATACAGCTACATTTCTGTTCAACTAGTGTTTACTCAGCAAGTCCAATTAGTGCAAGTTATTTATCTTCACTGTTAATTGCACAACTGCACTTTCCTCATGTAATACAAGATTCGTCAACTTTTTTTTTTAACAGATAAATCTATTTAAAAATGAACATTTTTGATGCTATCTAAAATACTGACAATCATATTCAGATTACAAACATTTCTGACTATAACTTTACCAGGTTATGTAGCAAAATAATTGTGCAGATGAGCACAAAAAAAGCTCACCTACATCAAAAGAATGTGATTTCTTGGAGTTGCACGTTTCTGTTGCTTCTCCCAATGAACTGAAAGTTGCACTAGTCACACACACAGAACAAAAATTCCCCCATGAGAAAATCCCCTTCTCCTGCTAATGTTCCATGAAACTGAGAAGTTATGCTCATGCTCAGCAAATAAAACAATCTGACAAAGCAGATCGATCTTTCTTTCCACTACAAGATCTCCGATTTCCAGCAGCTTCACACAAATCAGATCAGATTTCCTTCACACCTGAGAATTTTCATCTCTTAACGGCAAGGTAAGAGGCTGGCGAAATGCTCTGCCTGGGTCACTGATCTACCTGTGGAAGGACTATGTGTTCAGTCAGAAGGGTACCAGATGGGATCTGGCATAAACAACTCCCTGACCCACCAAAATAGTTGAAAAGCACATCCATGACCCATCTTAATAAATACTAGATTTACTGTGCTTCCATCCAGTGCACTCTTGCAGTAGTATTTATTGTACACCACTCTCAGCGTGCACAGTATCGAGCTAGTCTAAACACCCAACAAGTAATGTGATGCTAATAAAACTGTAAATATGGAAACAGGTATAAAGAACATGCTTCACATCGATCCATTGTATGAGAATTCAAGCTACATGGTGAGTGCACAGCTCCCATCAACCAGCTTCCTAGCTAGGGAAAGCAAAACTGGAAGGACAGGTACAGGAGAAAACTCACAGTCAAGTGTGCCACCAAGAGGCAAAAGAAGCAGAGTGAGACAAGGTGGAGCACCAAGAGAATGCAAGACATCAGGAAATCTCTGGAATAATTTGTATATGGAGTCTGCCTTCACCAGACAGTTTTCACTTCTTGATCTTAACTTCTAGACCACAAATTTGCACAAGGACTGAAATCTGACATTCAACAAAGCAACAGGCTTAAAATCAGTGGAATTGTTACTAACACCAAAACATAATAAAAACAGAATGAGAAAGCAGCTCATCTGGAACCAAAACCACCATTTAAAAATTGCACAATTTCTACTCAGGAAACTTTTCCAGGATTTTTCTCCATGATCACAATAACAACAAGTAACACAAAGACAATCAATTGAAACCTGTAATAGGAGTCAAATGACCTAACCAGCTTCCTTTCTAAAAAGAGCACACTGTGAGACTACGTAAAGAAAAATTCTAGTTATCCCAACTGGATGTCTTGGTTTTTGAAAGGGAGATGTTTTGGCACACATTGTTTTGTTTGTGTTTTGCTTTCAGGAAGCACACATCTAAGAATACTGTGCTATTAATCCTTTTCCCTTTTCCCTGCAGAAGCATCTGGGAATAGCAGGTGGAAAGTTTGCAGAGAATACAACGCAGATGGTTTTACTTCTGCTTTTGCAAAACAGAGACACGTGAAATTTCCAAGTGCAGGATTGCACAGGCCGGTGCAGAGAGGGATTGAGCTGGCCATGTGAGGCACCCAGGTTCACAGTCCAAGCAGCAGAAAGCAGCTAAGTGCAGCTTCACAAGGTTAAAAACAACACATCAGCAACTTACTGCTGGCTAAGTAATAGGACAGGCCTTCTCAGGGATTACTACAGTAACAGAGATTGGCAACAACTAGCACAACAAAATCTGCGCTAGTCTGTTCCGTCTGGATTGGTAAAGCACCAGAAATGACTCCTCAAAGCAGCAAATAATCAACACGGGTTCTACAGAAAGGTCTGTGTGCCCTCTGCTGGCATCTGCAGTACAGTTCTCACCACTGTGCTCATCAGAGTTTTTGTTAAGGATGAAAACTTACAGTGACAGCTATAAAAACACAGACATGTTTCTAAGTAGCCTCTCCTTTGCTTAGTGTACTTCTTACAGTATTTATGAGCATTTAGCTACTTCTAAGGTCCAATAATCCTCTTACATTCTGAAAGATTAAGCCTTTTCATCATCTCCCACTGAATGCATTATTGATTAGGCCAAACCATGGCAGACAGACCTAAAAATGACATTAATCTACAGACACAGAAGTGTTTCCACAGCAGCTCTTTGCTAGTATGACAAGATAAAGCTGGAGAGTAAGGAGAACGTTCAGACTACGTAACATACAGTGTGGAATGCTACACAATAATAACTTCACACAATAATTTGTTGCAGAGCATTGCTTCCTTTCTGCTGTTTCAAATATGAAAATACAGACAATTCAGCAGACAGCAACTTACAGAGGTTTTTTTCCTCAAGTAAAGCTTTTACCTGGTCTTCACTTGTTAAACCAAGGTGCATCACAAAATAAAAATGAAGCAGGAAATCTGAATTTGGCAGAACATCCTGACGCCTCGTCATCATAGCACAGATCAGCCTGTATGCCTGAAGTTTGCCTTCCTTATATTCATTTGGCAGGGTGGTTGCCTGAAAAAAGACCTGTATTAATACTTTTCTTTCTACTAGTCCACTAATGCAAAACTGTCTTTTCAGCAGATTTTCCATAAACGAATTTACTGTATTTATTAAAATTAATGTTCAAATACACTTGTCTCAGCCTGCAGTGACTGCAAAACTTAACAGTGGAATGGAGCATATACACATTTATTGTCAACAGAGAAAAAATACTAATGTGAGAAACAACTTACCTTGAACAACCATGATGCAAATATTCTGAGAGGAGGAATTAAGACAGGAGGAGAGGGAGTAGACTGATTGTCCACGCTTATAGCAAGGTTATCCCTTATCTGGTGTTTTTAAAAGAAGAGAGTTATTTAAGAAAAAAATAGTTCACTTTATTAATGTGATTTCATATAATTCTCTGTTTTTTGTGGATTTTTTTTTACTTTTAAGGCACTGCATCCTGCACTACACAGAAAGCTCTTACTCAAGCCAACACTACCAGGAAAAGGTGTTCTACAGTGCTACAAAGGCTAAGCTAAGCATTTTAGGTTGTACCATTAGCTTTTGCACTAAGAACAGTGTCTGCAGTACTCTATCCCACACCTCTGTTTTCTTTGCTACTGTTTTATGAAGCCATCTAAATTAATTAAATTCTTCTTATTAAATGGGAATATTTTCAACAGGGGATAGTTCCAGGAAATCAAACAAAAATTTGACTAACTTTACGGCAGAATCCTCCAAATATGATGCTTACATTGCAGATGCCAACCCTAGATCAAATCTAAGCATAATTAAAAAAAAAACTTAATCATTATCATTAGATGAAAATATTATATACAATACCTTTGCAAGTTTATACCACAGCTCATAGAGATACCCAAAAACTTTTGCATGAATTTTAGGCGACTGTATATTGTTCACATCTCCAAGAATTCCCAGGATCCTCCTCCATAGCACAGCAGCAGAATCAGGATGCCAACCGATGAGGCTTCCACCAGCAATTATACTGCAGTCATCAGCAAGGAACTCACTGCTGTCTGTAAATTTTAAAAGGTTCTCTTTCACTTCTGATGAAGTTTCAGTTCTGATGCACATCATTTCTAAAGAAACTCTTAAGGAAGGTTCAAGGCAAAAGAGCCAAAAGCTTGCAATTTTATTGTGAAGTCTGGAAAGTTTACTAAGCAAAAAAAAGACAGGAGCTATGTAATTATTGACAAAAGGACACTTCTTTGGTCTTCCTGGTCTAGCACACACACAAACCAGAGAAGAAGAAAAATCCACAACAAATAAAATACTGAAGGCATATTCCCAGACCCACAAGTCCTAAGTACAGGGGACAAGACAGTACAGCCCCTGTCTTGCTGATGATGGACCTGCATGAGATGTGGCCTCCAAGTACCCACACATTAGGGAAGAACATGGTGACCTCCTTCCCAGACTAAACCAATAAGGCTGTTAAGACCAATTTCCTTTATACAAATGTTCCATCTAAAAAGCACTCTCTTCACCAAATCATCTCTTCCTTCTGCACTACTAAAGGAACACACGGGTCAAAGAAAAAAATGGCAAGAAAACACAGGCTAATAGAGATGGCACAACTGTGTGTCAGTTTGGTATGACGGACTGCCCCCACTCAAGGTTTTGGAGTAGGGAAGCAAATGCAGTTAAATGTACTTTGTGCATGTCTGAAACTCATGTACTCTGAAAGATGTGCTCAATCCATAACTGGCTTTTACAGGTAATATTTCCATTGTGAAGAGTCTTGCCTCTTTTTTTTTTTTTTAATTTTTTTTTTATTTTTAAGATCACATACTATAAAATGACCTGAAAATACGACTGAACAATGGAGCTAAATACGATGCACTCTGAGAGATGAAGAATATGCTCTGCCACTATCATTTACACAGAAGCAATTCCTGAGGTAGCTGGATACAAACTGAGAAGGAATTCCTGTTTCCTGCTGGTGACAGGTGGATGGTTGGACTGGATGATCTTGTGGGTCTTTTCCAACCTTGGTGATTCTGTGACTCTGTGCTTCTGAAGCTGGGCATGATAATGGAATTAATATCCCTAAACAGTAAATGAAATATTCCACACTGAAGCACAAATGTTAATGATAAAAGCTGTTCAATTATCTTCAGAGCAGAGAAAGCTATGCAGCAGCCTGTCTGCAGGCAGAATCAGAGCTATGGCCCCACAGGGCACCTTTGAGCACTCAGCATCCAGTGTGTTTTGTTTGTATGTTTGTTTTTTAAACTTTTTTGTGATTCTATTTCCTTTTTGCTTCCTTTGTTTTGTTTCTGGTAGCGTTATGAATTCCTAAAGAGTTAAAACATTATTTTTTAAGCATATCAGAAAGATTCTTAATGGGGAAATTCATGTATCTACGCTGTTTGGGTGATGACAACACAGTATTTTTAGCCTTGCACCATTCAGGGTTCTAAAGAAAAGCAAAGCTTTATTTTAGAAAGCCTCCAAATCCTAAGATCAAACACATCTTTGTTTTGTGCTAGAAGAAAATTAAGCTGAAACACCCAAATTAATGCAAGTAACTATATGACACATCAAAGCCCTCGAGGCTCGGCTTGTCACATTTTCACTACTACAGCTGACGTTGTTCACAAGTGCCTCCACCAGCCATGGGCTCCCAGACACCCTCTGCAGTTCTCCATGGAACAACCACACAACAAACAGAAGCAGCTCTGACAGATATCCACTGGGAACAGGGCAAAGATGTTGTCTTCCCGTGCAGATGGGTAGGGCTGTATTCACCACAGTGATTACTGAGGTTTTGTAACATGACAAACAGAGGAAAGCTGTGAGCTGCACACTGGCCTGTATGCAGATCACACAGCATTGAGTGGGCATGTGGACAAACAACTTTGGCAAGAACCAGCATTAGGAGCATGCCAAATCTATTGGGCAACCATATGAGGCCTCTTTGAAAGTAATGCCTCTTATTTTATTATGCTGACCCAGGACATCAGAGGTGGATGCTGGCTGTCTTTTCCACGGAAATACACAGGAGGCATTACTTCTGGAGTGACCTGCACACATTTGTTACTCCACTTCTCTTTCTAATCTCTGAAGTTATTTTACATAACTCATTCTGTTTGTACACACCAAGGAGCAATTTCTTATATCACAGGCAAAGAAAGTGCTGAGTTTATCACGAATAATAATCCTTGCTGGATACTGCTCTGCACACTGCCTTGTGTACAACAGCCATCTGAAGGATGGAACTGGGTGTGCTGGTTCTTTAAATCAGCAGTAATTCAAAGAAAGAGTGATCACAGAAATGAAACTCTAAAGCCCATCAGTAAAGAAGCTGCAAATAGTTTCATATGTTACAGTATCAAGTTATTGATATAACACCCCTAACTTGCTTATTACATATCAATGGGAAGATATCTTGAAGAGAATCAAAATATTTCAGTAGAATTAAAATGAAAAAGGAAAGGACTTTTTTGATTTTGATTTGCAAATCAACTCTTCTGAGAACAACACTTCATGACTTCCTACTGGCATACAGGCAATGCTGAAGTACAAATAAGGAGGGTAACAGTTTAAGAGATTGTGAATTAATCAGTTAGACAGTTTCTATCTGTCCAAATAAACAAGGAACCTACTGCGCATTCTCAAAATATCCTGCTATAAAAAAAATATCTAGAAAACAGAATTTAACTGAAATTCAATTCAATCCTTTCACTTGATCACTCTCTTAGCTTGCACTAGCATTCAACTATCACATAGCTGATTACTTTGACACAGTAAGAAACTCATTTTTAAGTATGTGATCACTTCTTGGATTACAGTTTATTCACATTTATGTCAGGTTCATTCTCATTATCTTAATTCTTTAAGCTCGGTCCATTTAAATCTCGTTTTTGACAGAACATTCTGAACAAAACTTGTCAACATGCCTAAAAACATGTTTTTTTTTTTTTGTTTTGTTTTGTTTTGTTTTTTAAACACGCAAACTGAACTCCTTTTTGAAATAAAAATCTAAAATATAATTTCTGGACTATAATACCTGTTAAATTTGCATTATCTGAAGGGCTAAGCTGAAGCCAGCGAGGTGCATCAGGATCCACACAGACATCTGTCGATGCATTAACTTCCTGATCTTCTTCAGAGGCTTGCCAGGGGATGAGAGCAATCTCTACCTCATTATTATACCCAATGGATGTGTCACTGCTCACACTTTCACCTAAAGCAAGCAGAGGATGAATAAAGATCATGGAGCCTATTTTTAAAGATGGCATTAGCATAACATGACCCAACAAGACATGATCACACTGGTTTCAGCTGCTACACTTCAAAAAAAATTATCACCTTTCTTGGAACTCACTTTTTTCTCTCTCCCTATGGTTTCCATGTGTTTGCTGTAAGTCAGCTTTCAAATCCAATTCAGCTGTACTACTGCTCCTTCGTACTGGTACCTACAGAGGAAAAAAAAATGCATCCATCTCAGTTCATCAACTATATTTTTGAGAACATGGTATTCTTGCAGTTTTGAAACACACAAATGCACACAGGGAAAGTTACTGCAAATTAACTGCAACTCAGTCAAGATATTTAAATGAATGTAGGAACTGGAACAGGGAGCCAGGTTAATTTTGAATTCCCCACAACTACAAAGCCTGCATCTCTCTCCCCCCCACCTTCACCACACCTTGTTATTCTTGAAGTGATTAATGAGAGCACTTCCCAGAAAGAGCCTTGTCTGTAGAACAAAGCATAACAGTACTGCAAGAGCAGACACATGGCAGAACCAACAACCAGAGATGAGATTCCTCTTGCAGTCCTCCATGCAGCATTGCATTATACTTCCACAATGATGAACTCATATATTATTTCTATTGTTTTTTCCAAAACTGCATTAAAAATTTACAAAGCTTGCCTGTCCAAATGTTAACTTAGGCAAACAATCCACAATAAATAGCTGGTGCTACAAATTTTGCTGAAGGAAAATATTTTCCCCAGCACTTCAAACCATCAAACATTTACTCCAGTAATGTAGCTCTAAAAAAAACATTAATTATTTAAAAAGAAAAAAAAGTGAATGGGCTTGTTTATTATTAATATAGAAAAGCACAGAAGTCTTTTATGAGAACAGTACACAGCAAATCATGTCAAAGTGCACTGGCAACTTACAGTATCAGAAGTTACAGGTTGATCATAGCAAACAGCGTAAGGGACAACGAAAGCTTAATTCCTGATTCCATTTGCCTACCAAATATTCATTCTTTCAGTTGATAGTTTTTAAATAGAAAAAGCCATCCAATTTACAATGGAATATTTTATTTATTAACGGAGCATTTATGTTACATAAAACAAGATCTCATCAGTAATCACTATCTATTTTGCCTTACATGCTCAGCTTCATGTTCCTTCTTCACACACTCCTTATTTTCCTGGATTGATTTGGAGTCTAAAGTGGTCAAATTATGAGAACTCCCAGCCTTTTTGCCTACAAATTTTAGAAGGGAAACAGAATTAAAATGTGGGGGAAAAAATGACATAGCAAATTACAAGAAAATGTCAGCTACATTTACACATACATTTCTTGTATTTACAGCAGAGCAAAGTAACAAACTGTAAACTTCTCACAGATTAGTTATTAAGATAGAACATATGATGCCATGACAAATCTTTCGTAAGCATAACATAGGTGCAAAGCAAAACAGAAGTAGAGCTGTTCCTCTGAAAACATGAAATATAAGCACATGCTTGATAAATTTAAACAGTGACACTGCAAATGCACACATTTAATAAAGCTCTGGTTTATTAAAAGTTGTGTTCTCCATTTTTGGTTCAGATTTAGTAGGAAAATGGGATAAAAAACATTTTACAACTGTGGCTGAAAACCATAGAAGGTAACAGTGGCATCAGTGAAGCTCAGGAAGTCCTGGCATTTCTTCATGTGTGTAGTGTTACTACGTTTCATCCAAATTACCTTGAAAAAAATCAGATGGAAATTGATCTGCAATATCTGAAGTGCTGCTACTTCGAGTGAGCTGCTGCTCTTGGTCTACAAAGAGGCCTGTAGCTTCTGCTCCTGCCAAAGCTTCCGACTGCTGAGATTCTTCAACCTCTGTTGATTTAATTAAAAAGTTGTATTTGTATGACCTCTGAATTAAACACATGTGCCAACTCCTTAGCTATGAAACCTAAGTGAAAAAGTGGCCCACTCAAGTACTTCAACTCCAAATTACAAAAACTAGAATTTAACCCCTTGTCAGAGAAGTCAAAAGTATCCTCAGAAAAGCAAAGTTTAGAGAGAGATGTATTAATGGTTTAAATCATGAAAGACCTAGAAAAAGATGGAGAAATTACTTTGGGTTTCAATGTGGCACCCTTACTTGGGATCAGGAGAGCTCTCCTTTGGTATCGACGCTTTCAGTCACAGCACTGGTTAAAGCCACCCACTCTGTTATCCTTTCTGTTGGAAAGCAGTCAGAAAGTTGGCCCACAAGTCCCCCATCAAACTGACCCAGGAGAACCACCACCAGACTGCTCATGGCAGTCAATCTACACATCCAATGCTATTAGAAGAAATGGTTCAGTACCAACATGGTGACTTGGAGAAGCACTGGATTTCTGTTCTTTAAATAAGGATCGGGGGCTGAATTATCAAATTCTCACATTTCTTTCTGCATATTATTTCACAATAAAGGAACTAAAATGACCTGCCCACCAGCTTTCTACATTCTGCTCCTCTCCTTTCCTTTGCTCTGCTTCCTACCTCCTTGCTGGTCTGTATGCACTGACTTTGAGGCTATGCTTATGCAGAAAGGAGCAAGAAGCAAAGCCCCTCAGGGTACAAGATTGCACCTGCCTGCACTGACTGCAGCAGCAGCATGCAGGAGGAGGACAGCATGCTTCCTTTGTTCAATCTACACTAACTGAGCTCAGATAATACTCATATTACAATCTACATCATTTCTATTTCAGTAAACTGCCTCACAAACCCAAATGTTCTGGTGTTCATTGACCCCGAAGTACCACTGCCAGTATCAAAGCTTTACTGAAAGCAACAAATACACGAAAGCCCTTCTTTCAGGCCAATGCCCATATCAACCAGCTTGAACAATTTCAACATCGTGACCAAAAACAACAACATGGGATGAAAAACACTCAAGATATTTCATGGAATAGGAATCCCCAGAGAGTCATAATTTGCACCACGTGCAAACTTCTCTAGTGTTGGTTTCTGCATTCCTAACTCTTTGTACATCAGGTATTTGTTGCTTGGGAACTTTCAGTAAATCAAGTACTTGGAAATGAAAACATGGAGAAAATCATTGATTCAGTAATTCTAGGAATTTTTACTTTTATTATTAGGAAATATAAACCCAATAAAGTTGTAATTCATGCTAATATTTAAATGAACAAAACCAGCATTGCTTGCAGTACTTTTGAGAGAAATCAAATACCACCTGAAAGCTAAGAGGCACAGACAAACCTTTCATATTTGCTTCTAGAATCAATAATTACAGAAAAAAAATCTTTAAGAAAAAAAGATCCACATTTGTCAGCACTGATTTGTAACTGAGTGTGACACGGAGGGAATGAGTTTTTTCTTCTAAAATCAAGTACCAGCAGCTCAACCTGCTGCACTTCTTTTTTGGCACACCTTGCTTGTGATATCTCATACATTCGTGCACACAACTAGCTTCTATTGCAGCTCCTTGAGAAGACCTTCCTGTCCTCTTTTCCCCTGAAGAGGTTACTTACATTGATAAAGACTACAGTTCCAGCGAGAGAACAACAAAAACCATTAAAAGTGACCACATTTTTTTTAACCCCTTCCTGCTATGAAAAAAGCACAAGGTACATTTCCACTGAATCTGCTCAACTCCTGCTAGCAACCACCATTACTTAACACTGTGTTTGGAACAGATCCAGGAAAGAGAAGTGCAAAACACCTCATTCCATGCTCCTTAAGAATAATTAACTGGACAGAAAGAGAGCAGACAGAAAAGCTTAAAAATATAAAGAACATTTACATAAAAGATGACTTTAAAGTACAGTACCTGACAGTCTGTGAGAGCAAGAAGTGTAAGAGATACCAGGTAAGAGAGAGCTCACAGTGTGAAGCAGAAGAGGTACACTTTTAGTAGCTGGCAAAGCCTCATAAAGATGAACACAGTTGCTGATAGACTGGCTTCGCTTAGCTTCCAGGAAAAAATAAAGCAACAATTATGTCAGAAAACAGCAAAATATTTGGGCTTGGGATGTCATGATATAACGAAAAACAAAGCTTTTGAAAGAATCTTACAATGTCAAGCTCTGCAATATCTCCTGCTACCCATAGGTTAATAACATACAATGCATCTCAGCCACTGAAAATACAATGTGGAATCTTTCATTTTGTCAGCCTATGATTAGTATACATGAGCTTATTTGACTCACCCTTTTTCCTTCTCATTGCAGTACCATTAGCAGTACATGCAGCTCGAAACAAAGAATGGAAAACTTATTCAGCTAACTTTCTGCTAGCAATGCTCCCTCCTGCCCCAAAAACTAGCTATGTCTTCCATTCACTCATCTTGCCTGAAAACAAAGCATTCTGATGTGAGAAGTGGGACAGTGTGCCTCTTCAAAATCAATCTACAGCTACCACTGTTAGCTTGTTGTTTTTTTAAACTAGGGATCCTTGCTCCAGCCTAAATGAAGTGCTGAGTGCACTTGTCTGACAACACTGCTGACCCTGCTTTGAGCAGGAGCTTCATGACCTGAAGCAGCTTACATCCTGAATTATTCTGTAGGCACTGCTTTTGGCATACTTGCTTTCTCCACTTATGAACAGGACAATGAAACATGCAAGTTATGAGATGGGGTTTGGGTTCTTCAGTCAATAGTGAAGCTAGAAGCACTCAAAACACTGCTGGAACTCTGCACTTTTGCAAAAGGAGAAAATAATCTCAAAGATAGTGAAGTGTTAAACGTTGTATCCAGTGTTACTTTGCTGGCAGCTTCTCTCATCATCTGTAAGAGAGATGAGCAGTGCCCTTTTGTAACCTGTACATTAAATACTCTCTCAGGCCACAAGAAAAATACCTTCCAAGGTAGCTAATGCTTTAGAGGATTTCTGCCATCAAGACAAGTTATTAAAATATATTAATAATTATCATGCAGTTGTCATAAGCTTGAAGTCTCCTTTAGAAAAATGCATTAATTTCTCACCAACTGTACTAGAAATGCATCTGGCATTTGCTGTGCTGTTTCCCTTTTTGCTCACAACAATGCCAATGCTGATACTTAGAGATGAAAAAAGGAAAAAGGAAAAAATCCTCAAGCAGGATGGTGGGCTGCTGCATTAATACCCTGCTGTTAACTGTTTAACTCCCAGTGCAAGCAGAAGATCAAAATAAAGTCTTACTTGGAAGCAAGAGGCGATCTTGTGTTTATGCTGACATCAGTGTGTGGGGTTTTTTTCCTGTTGTTTTTCAGTGAGGGAGGGGAAAAAATTAAAAAAAAAAAGAAGCCCCAGGGCAGGAGATGCTTTCCCCAAAGCTCCATTCTGCTACAAAAAGTCCTTCCCTGACTATTTCTCTAATTCCTTTAAGGACTGCTACAATTGTTTCTGAAGGATAACGTCTGGAGTTTTAGTAGCTGAGTTTTGTTCTCCTAGAAAGTCTTACTCTTAGGAAATAGATAAACATCAGACTATTTGGAATCATTATTTGCTATATCTGCAAGTGCAAATATAAGAGGTTTTTATATCTGCTGATTTGGGAGCCACTGATCACCAGAAATCCTACGGAAGCCAGAATAATTCCAGTTTTATGTGATCGTAAGACACAAAATGAAACCAGAGTATTATTACACATGAAGTTCACCCTCTAGTCTGACAACCAACCTGCTGCCCACCAAATAAGCTTCCCTGTAACCAGAAAAGACATACTGCCTCACCTTTGTATTTTGCTGGTAAGAAACACAACTAATCTATTATGAATGAGGAAAGACTCTGCTTAGAAAAACATTTTCTATTAAAAAAACAGAGAAGACTTTCTGTGGAGTGTTTTAATCCATAGCCCACTGAGTTAGAATACAGAGTCTCAATACCATAAAATAGAGACCAAATTCAGGCCTCTGATATACTTGAAAAATTAGGTATCTCTTTCAACACTTGGAGTTTCAGACATTCCCCCATTATTCCTACACCCCATTCTCCCTTCTGTTTACCACTATACTTTTTCTGTCCAGAATTAAACATGAGAGGAAAAAAAAGGAAAATGAGATGCTACACATATATTGTTACATCATTAAGAAGGAAGTAAGTAAATAATATAAGCAAGGATGCTTATTAAATACAGGCTTTATCTTGTGATTACAATAAAAGGCAAGCAGCAAGAAAGTTTAGAAACTACGTATGACTGATAGCATAATGCATTCAAGAGCATAAAGTATTTTCCAAAATACTTTGATCTTTTATTCGTATTTATAGCCCTGCAGACATCCAGACTCAGGTATGCAACATCTATGTTGAATTTACTTGCACTATTTTTGGAAGTAGTCAGAACTCAAAGGCTCAGAACTCAAAGATACAAAACTTGATGTTACTGGATGTTTGGGAATCAGGTATCTAGTAGAGATCTAACCTGTTGCTCTCTGACGAACAATATTTCTTGCTTTCTCAACTCCAGGAGCTCCAGAGGTGGTGGCACTTCTAAATCTCATGGGCTCCACAACTTCAGGATGACTCTTCCAGCTTAATGAAAAAGATCTTCCCACTACAGCTGTCTTTTGAGGCTCTAAAACACCACCTAAGAAAAAACAAGATTATTCTAGCATTTAGTATTGTATTCAGCTTTTTCATTTATTCTTCTAGGGTTTGAATGAACTTAGAGGCACTCCAACATGGAAAAAAAAACTCATCTTCAAATCAGTGTCGCTGATGTAGTAATTGCTTTATAATCACAGTAAAAATTCAACTATGTGTATCAATTGCAAAGCAGCATATGAATGCAGCTGAAATACTGTAATTCATGAAGTTTAATAAAATTACATGGAAAAGAATTTTGACACTGATGACTATGCCAGAATACAGCACAAGAAATCACGATTCATTCCCGCTGCACAGAAAAAAATCATTTTGAGCACATACTAAAATCTGCCAACCAGCTACCATCTATTGACCCCAATTAGCCTTCCTAGCACAGTGAGCATAAAAATCCAAAGCCCTTCATATTTGATTAATCAGGTTCTTACACAAGATTAAGAGGTATTTAATGTTAGATCTTTTAAAGTTTAAACTTGAATATTTAACTTGTTTGACACAAAAAGCACTGAAGCATGGGGACTAACCCTTTCCTCTCTGCTTTTTTTCTTTCTGTTCACTGAGCTTATCCAAGGGTAAGTTAGTCATTTCCACCCCATACACAGTTCTTGCTAGCACTGCCGTCAGGGAGTCCATGATGTTGGCCCACTCATTTATGAGCTCCTCCCAGTCAGTCAGGGAAGACAGAACGCTAAGCAGCTCATCCCACAGCTCCCGAGAAATGTAGACGCTCAGGTTTGCTCTGATCCAAGCCACAATGAGGGTCTAGGAGGAAATAAACAAGTGGCAGGTCACACATCTTGGATGAAATTAACACAATGCCATCTTGCATATTAGTGCTGGTATCAGTGACACACGGATACACAGATACTATTCATCAAAAAACAATCCAAGAAATTGGTGGGTAGATATTCAGTACAAGTTACTGACCAAGGAAATTTAAAAATTATGAAACAGATGCTTCAGATGGCCTCTATTTTGCCTGGTAAGCTAATTTATTGTTCACACAGCAACAATAAAAGAATAGAATACAGAACTGACCATCGCAACATCTTTCAAATGATTACAGAGCTTGAGTTATACCTACAACATTCAGATCTGAACACATCATATACAAATGGATGCAGACAGATTTTCATTTTCTTAAGCGTGACTTAGTTTTGACTTGCCAGATGAACTTACTTCTACAAGAAGTTGCATACAGCTCACAGTGTAGAGCTACTCACTGAAGATATCCCACAATTAGACTGTCTGCCTGTGCTAGCACAGTTTGCAATGCAGCCCTGAAGAACAGATCAAATCAACTGCTTCTGACACCTGGAATCCTTCTTAATAAAACAATCAGTTGTATCACTGCAAAGGAGAACTTCTTCATGTTCTACAAATACGTTGCATAGTACTGTGCAATAGTACTTAAGCAGAACTATGAGCATGGAAAAACTGGTGCCAAGCACACAGAAAATACTCACTCGGAAAAGTAATCCTGACATGCTCTGAGCAAATGTATCCTTTATTTGGTTCTCTTTTGGCTTCTGCATCACTGCTTCTGTTATTCTGAGGAGTATCTGTAACATCTGCTCCCTGGTTCCAAAATAAAATTGTACTTTTTGTTCACAGTTTCTATTAATCATTCTTGTTAATTTTCACGCAACAAAAAGCCTGTTAATTCTCAGTAATCTTTACACATTGAGAATGTGATCACACAAAGATTTCAACAGAACTTTTGCAAAGTATCACCAGTTGACAGTGGGCTGTAAAACTTAATTTGTGAGAAGAAAAATTCAGGGATGGAAGCAATGAGCAGAACTTTGAAATCAAAAAGCACTTTGATGAAGACACAGCAGAACCTACAACCTCATAAATCAACTCAGGTGAAGTTGTAAGTCGGCATATGTAACAAGGACCATCACTGTGTAAGTTCTCCCTCTCACCCTCTCCTTCCTAACAATTCTCCCATAACAGCTAAATATTAATAACCTTCTCTTAGCTACAGAAGATATTAAACTTACCAGGTCTTTTTATTCATTGATAGTTCCATTATCATGCGCCTGAAAATACTGAGAACTGCCTTGCAAGCATCAACTTGCTCCTTCAGAAGCACGGGGACTTCAATGCATGGTTCCAGTAAAAACACATTTGCAGAGTTTGTCAAGAACACCTTCAAGACACAGGTATTCACAGTCAGTTTACACAGTGCCAGACAAAAAAAAGTCAAGACTTAGAATAATAGAATACTTGTCCTCTCTTAGTTAAATCACTTATTTTCCTTACAGCAAGCTTCACATTTCATCTACCACTTTATTGTTCTAAATCATTCTAAATCAGAGTCAGATGGCATTCCACGATAACAAGGGCATATATCACAAAGTTCATTGTCTTGCAGGTACCTCTTCTGTTTGGTCAGGTAGGAGTGCCACTCCTCCAGCTACTCACTTCCCAACATGATATGCTTAAGTAAACACCACCACTTCCAATTAATGAGGAACAATAAAAGCATATGTACAGTTCTCATTCACAGTACCAACTGAGGGGAAAAAAAATATGTACCTCATACCTTATACCAGTTATCCAGGTCTCAGACATGAGCACATGGCTTAACATACATTTTTATAGTTATACATGAAGTTCAAATCATATCTGATGAAAACCATCAGCTCCTCGTAGCTTCTTTCCTTAATTTCAGAGTTTTAATTTCAGAAAGGCTTTTATCTAAGTTCTTAAATCAAAATAGGAAATTATAGTTTATATAAGCCAGAAGAGAATTGTTTTCAGTAATGCTAGCCTAGAACCCTCCCAAAATGTTCTAATCTGGAAATCAACATAGAATTTAACATGGCTATATGATGGTACTATAATGTGTAGTATAAGTTACATGAGTCTTACAGCCTTGTAACCTTTCAGTACAGCACACCTGTAATGCAGCTTGAGCACCAGCTTTAACATTTTTGTCTTCATCTTCCAATACACATCCTCTGTTAACAGCACTGGTAAAGGAGTACGTTCTTCCCCAGCTGGATGAGCGCTTATGTCCTGAATGGTCAGAGGAAAGCTTTCAAAAACACCACTCAGTTAGTGACCAGGGAGAAAGGAAAACGTCCATATTTACTCAAAATCAATGAAAATGGCAAAAGCAAGAAGAGGGAACTACTGTGTCCATTTAGCAAGGAAGTCATGTCTACCACTGACATCTCAGAGCAAGCATAGTACGTGGAATTTAAAGGTTCATAAAACTCAAAAGAACTACAGTATTTTGAACTGTTTTATCTCACATTTTGTAGTCACTGACTGTAGTACATTTGAATTCATGCCTGGAATAACTACAGATTCTGATTTTACACCTCAACCATCTGTCTCGGTGTAACAAAATTTCTATTTAAGTAGCTTTGAATGTGAACGTCCCAGTCAATATTCACTACAGTGAACATGTAAAAAAAATGTGATGTCACAGAATTTTTACTCGCAATTTAAGTTCCTAGAGCTACAGATCCAAATTTGGACAGAGTATATGCAAATTAGTAGATATTTTCAACTTCTTAATTAAGCAATTACCACCACTTCCATTAAGTTCTTGCTACCACATCTCTATAGACAAGGAATAATGAAGAAAGCTGCATTTTTCAAAGAGCTGCAATCTTTCTTTGCACTCAGTAAGGCCTACCAAACACTCAGTAATCATTTATATTTCTGGCCCTTAGATACAGCACTTTTTAATCCTGATTTCCCATATAATTTAAATTTTTCCTCATTTTCAAAGCAGGTTTAAGAGATAAATAACATACTGCAGGGAGACAGAATAATGTAAATAATACTGATAGCATACATGTTTACCATCCGTTTGTGCTGATGAATCCTCTAAGCTGGTAACAGCATCCTCACTGTTCTCCTTTTTGTCTGGCTCCTCCATGAACACAGGTTTCTCCTGCAGTATCCACTTCCGATACACCTTAACCACTTTCCGTGTTGCAGATATATCAGAGGAAGGCAACAAAAATGCCTAAATTTAAAGTTAACTGCTTTTACTGGATATATGGGGCACAGAAATCCATGCATATACATACACATGCATCATAACCACCCATAAAGAGCACAGATCAAAAATAAAGTAAGGAAACATATGTTTTACATTGTACAAAGAGTTACAGCTAAACAACAGTGTATCCATGTATCTTCACCTGTGTCGATCTCTCAATTCTGTAATTAGAAATACCTGGGTTCTACCCTACACTCATAGAAGTTGATTTCAAATTACATCACTAGTATAGAATATGAAATGCCATTTTAGCAAGTGTGACTAAAGGCAAGACATGAAACTGTAATGAGAATAGCAGTGACTGGCATTCAATCCTTTCTGACAACATGCTCAAAAATCAGCATAACAGATTTAATTCCAACCCCTTGGCAGTACTTCTAACATTCTGGAAAGATGTCCACTGTAAGAGCTTTCAAAGGCAAAACTGCCTGTTTCCCCACATTTCTGCAGATCTCGGGCATCTAAAACAATACAGTGATGTGTGTTAGACTCTTGCAGTATTATAAATCCTGGGAAACTGCACACTCACTAAAAGGTGATGCCTACCATATTCTGCATGGCCAAGTACTACCCCTCGCAGTGGTATAAAGTTAGTTTGACCACAGAACATTTTATAGACTTCCAAAAATGAAATCCCACTACAAACCAGTATCAACTGTTGAAAAATCTTTGGACAACAGTGAAATGGCACAGAAACCAAGGCAGAGAAATTTCATTTGGTGCCAAAATACCCACCTTGTTTTCCCAAGGAAGAAAAAGTTCCTGCTTTGGTATCGAATGCATTATATTACAAATTCAGTGAGAAAGACTAAAATACATTCTTCAAATTAACAAAATTTGTTCTGTCTATAAAAAGACTACCCACTCTTCACTAGTTAACAGCAACAGAAGCTGTAGAAATGCATTCATAGCATTTCTTCCTACAGTCACTTTAGCTGCAAAAACATTACAGGGTTATCTTATTCAGACTGGGGGAAATCTATGCACCATATAGCATGTTTCCCTTTGTCCAGACAACATGAAGCACAGTTATCCAACAGCTAAACGGAGTCTTCAACTCCTAGTCTGCAGAAATTGAAGGGTTAGCAAAAGCTACATTAAACATGCCACACAGCAAGCAAGTTGTTCTCTGAATTATGAGGAAACTGAAAGTCTGATGACAACTGCTAGCCTATTAGTGAAGCAGTGGGATGAACGGCTACTACACAAAATGCTTTCAGGAAGGTTGAAAAGTAGGGTAGAAAGAAAAGAAAAATAAAAACATAGAGGAATTCAGAGTGACTAGTGAGATTCCTGTAAGGCAGAGATAAAAACAGGCAGGATCCAAGTGCCACAATCTGCTTCAATTACTGAACACTGATCATATTTAATAAAAGTGCTGCATTCTGTCACCTTCTGCTCCCCAGAAGCCCGTTGAACTTTACATACACTCTGAACACACACCAGCAGAGGGCAGCACACCACAGCGGTTCTCAACACACAAAATCACTCCTTCCAGTCACGATGACATCCGCCTCACAAAAGCACTGGTACAAGGAGCTCCTTAACTATGCCACACAGGACACTTCTCAGTAAAGCACGCATGCTTACTCTGCTGCTAGAGGGTGTCTCCTATAAATTTATGTGACCTGGAACTGTTGTTTCAATCGATTTCTACCGTGACAACATAGCAGAAGAGGATTGGGAATTCACAGTAATCCCACATGTACTTTTACCCCAAACACTTGAAAAGATATCAAAACAAAGACAAACACTAGTAGAAGCAATAAGCAATGGCTTTAACACACACGTGCACGTTTACCTGCCGAAACACCTCATTAACAAAGTTAACATATCCTCGGGTGGACAGGAGGATCCGCTGCACCATCTCATAGACGGTCCGATGCTGCTCCTCGATGCTGCAGAGGCTTGAATTACTGAGCCGCCGGTCAGACAGCGTGCTGCTATTGGAATGGCTTCTCTCCTGCTCGCTTGCATAAGACACGCTGGTTTCCAGTTCAGGGTTTTTATCTTGGTTTACAACACCAACAGTCTACACAGAAAAGATACAGCTAATTACATTACTGAAGCGCTGCTTAGCAAAAATCTGTGATGCTTACTCAGAACTCAAGACAGCAGCATTCATTTTCACAAAGCACGCAGGCATCCCAGCAGTCAGAACGAGCAATTTTCAATCTATCTTTTGAAACAGCACGGAATTTCATCTTATATGCTATATGATGCATACTTCAGATGGGTGCCCTGCAGCCGACTGACTTGTCTGCTCCCCAAGAAAGAAAGAGGAAGGGGTGTAGTGGTGGGACTGGAGAGCTGGCAGGCACAAGGGAGAAGCAGCTCCAAGCCCATTGGATTTTGGAGAAAGGAAGGATCACATCACTATACACGGTGCATATTCTTAGGCATTACTATTCCCGACAGCTCTTTGTCAGATATTGTTCTGGCGTGGCATTGCATTTATTTTGCAACATTTCATCCTGAACCATGTCTGACTAAAATAATTCAGTCAAGGGAAGACAGAGGACAAAGCCTTTGGAAGAAAGTGAATAAAACTGCATCTGAATTGCTGGACAAAGAATGCTACTCACACTAACTGAAAGCATTACCCGAATGCAGTTTGGCTTTACATTGACTTCAACAAGGCTGCTGTCTCTTCGACAAAGAGAGCAGCAGTAATATTTCTACTGCTTCTCATAATAAACTTACTTGTAAAATTTTGCCATACCAACAAAGCACAGGTTACAGGCACTGAAGTTTCTAACAACTAGGAAGTCAACGTGTGCCAAAAGCTCACACTTGGCTTCAGCTAAGTGATAATTTTTACAAGGTTCCATTCTGAAGGCAATAATATCTTTATACAGTCTAAATATTTAATTGGTGTCAGTAGTCTATAAAATTCAGTGAAAAGATTTCATTCTCCAAGCAACACCTGTTGCAATGGCACAGCACATATTTGGGCAGAAGGTGAAAATTCCAATGAGAATGAAAAGGTTACTAAAAAGCACCTTCAGTAGGTAAGCTACACTTGGCCTTTCTAAGGTATCAAAACTCTTCAATGAAGAACTTCAAAATTAATTAACATGAAAATACACAGTTTGACTTTCATAGCCAGTGAATGTTTTTCCACTCAAGCCAGATTTGACATTGACCCACAATTCAAGAGAAAAATCTAAAGTTGACAATGATCCTAGATTTTTAATGGGAAGCCAGAGAGTCTCTCAAAACAATTTATTTCCACAAAATTCCTGGTAAGCCCCTAATCCTACAGAAACCTCAACCAGAATTTGAAAGTGAAATATTTTTTCCAGCATCTCATTGTTAACAGCTGCTATAATCAAGAGGAAAACAAAACAGCCTTTGATATTACAGGGAAATGGTTTGTGCCTCAAATAAGTTTGACAGCTTACAGATTGAATTCCAAAAGTCCAGAGATAATAGCGATGAAATCCGGTAAGGCAAACATATATGAGGAAAAAAATGTAGTTAATTACTTAAGAGATTCCCTTGAAGACTCCCTCCTTCATAAAAGAAAAAATAATCAATTCACAAGTATATCAGTTAATCATTTGGGGACTGCATTTCTTTCTTGCCGCAGCTGTCAGCGCGCAATCCCTTGCAAGGTTTCTAGCACATCCAAAGAGAAAAAAGGTAAACTTTAAAGCACACCTGGATAATTTTAGGGAGCATTTCTCCTCCATTTTTTGTATGCTGAACAGCAGTTAAGTATTTCTTTTCAAGAAAGAAAGTAACAAGCCACTTAATAAATACAACTCGAGCTGCCATGTATGGAATTTTTGTGCTATAGACATTCTCATTGTTTCGTGTTGCAGTAATGTATACAGGTCTTGGTCTTGTATCAGGAATATCTGGTGAGATAAAAAGAGAAAATACAGAGAAAATCTAATCTTAAAAAACTTGCTTCCAGACTGTTTAAATGCATTGAACATGTCTCCAACAACATTTTTTCCATGTGAAATAACAGATGCAGTGACTGGCCACTTCTATTATTTAAAGCTTGTATTAATAACTTTACTACTTCTAAAGAAAAGCAAGAACACAAAAGTACAAATCTTTCAACGAAGGCTATGATTTGTATTAGGCAAAAGAAAGGAAAGCAAAAGAGAAGAGCTGCAAAGAGTAAGACAAGATCCAAACCAAACATGAGCCTGCAACATAAATTTCCCTGGGTCTTATTAGTAGGGTAGAATGAGAAAGAGAAGATGACTCAGGAACACTCAGTGAAAAGATTAAGGGTACTTAGCACATGGGAAAGAGATGTCAGCTCAGGTGCAAAGAGCTCTGCACAAGCTGAAATAAAAGAGAGAACACGCACTGGAAGAAAGTGGAAGAATGCCAAACAGAGATAGGTTGGGTCACAATTAACACAGATGCTTAGATGTGGGGGGAAAAAATCACTTGTATACAGCTGAAATACAGGGAAGGATTGTGCTCTAGTTGTGAACGTGACTGAAGTGGCCCTGAGGTGAATTCAGACACTAAGGGCAAATTGCAAAGACAGGAGTTAGAAGTCAGAGGAAGGAAGAGAGGAATGACAAAGAAGAGGTTGCAGTGTATCAGGTGAGCCTTAACAACCCTGCTCCTATTGACTCTAATATATAATTCAGTAGAATGTTAGAAGAAAGTCTAAGGAAAATGTGAGCATTACTGAAATAACATGCTTTTAATTCCAGAGAAGTGCTTCCTATAGATGCTTCCAGCAACACAAACTGAGCTCATTTATTTCTCAGTTACAACTCTGTTTTCTTTTACTTGACTTTTGATGCTTATTTTTTCTGTTTAAGGAAGAAAGGTGTTTTGTTGTTTTTTTTTAAACTTAAAAGACAAAACTTGCTACTTACCTAGAACAGGTTTGTAGAGGTTAGTTAGTTTTGTAAAAGATGGAAACAAGTGTGGAAGGTAGTATTTTCTGAACAAGGTAAAGAGAAACTTAAAACCAGTGTCTTGGTTCTCCTTATTCTTCCACTCCAAGCTTGCAGCCTTTGCCAAAGAATTAAAAAGAAAGGAAGAAACAAAAAGCTTGAAGATCATGTTTTACACTGATAGTCATTCCCTGTTGACGAGTAACAAAATGTTGCTCTACTTAATGAGAAAGATGAACAACTGCAGTTTAACATGAGAGATGAAAAAACAACAGCCCCAAATGTATTTACTTTTTTAAAAAGCACAAGAAGAATATGAAATACTACCTTGAAGGACTTCAGCATATCAGAGAAACAAAGCTCAGTAGAACACAATCCTCCCCATATGAATAGTTACAAACATACATCTCCTCCGCACCTGAATTACCATATATTTTAATAGTAACTGAAGAAAATAGCAGGTTTGGTCTTCAGCAATTTTCTCTCCAGAGACAGCTGGCAAAAGCGGGGTAATTTCTTCTGGAAAAATCTTAGCTAGAATAAAGAGAAAATGCTTTAAACATAGAAAACCTGAAAATACTGAAATAAATCATATTCTCTATAAAAAGATCAATTTGTTAATAATTACTAATGTGCCACTAAGTTGCACAAAGCCAAACTGCTTGGGCTTCCTGTGTTTTCCCAAACACCTTCACAGACATCTGAGGACAGGACCAACCTTTGCTTCAGTGCAGTCTGGAAGGATTAACACAAGCAGATGCTGCAGGTTAACAAATAAGCTGTAAACCTACACAGTAACTTTGCAGTAAGGTGTTCATACAGCTTCACCTCGATATAAAAAAAACCAACAAAATTGTTCTTAACTCAGAATGACAAAACCTGAAGGCCATAACACTGCAAAAATTGTCAGTAGCTTGACAATTGCAGGCCATCTCTGAGCTACAAACAGCACCAATCACACGGCACTGCCCCTGCAAGCAGCTCTTGGTTCACAGTGACTTCAGGGAAAGGGAGAAGGTGAAACACCCAGCACAGAAATTGTGTTTACTCACCATCTGGTGAATTAGGAGGACTAATGACATTATCTAGTGTACAGGGACCTCGTGAGGACATAACGGGTGGAAACCCAGGCACAAGGCATGCAAATATTAATATCTGCTCTTCTGTACAGTTAGTCTGAAGTGCTTGAAGCCAGAGAAGAAACAGTCGGATTCCTTCACATCTTATCTACAAGGGGATGATTTTGTAGAAGAAAATATGAAAACAAATTTGAAAGTACAGTAATGTAGTTGAGTTGTTAAGAAAGTGTTTGACAAGTACACTGATTCCAATTCTGTGCTAGTAAGTCTTTTGGTCATAGCATAAATAATCCTACTGCTAAGCTAACCAGAGCACAGAAGGGTGAGGGTGAGCTGTACCAAAACTGTGTATGATGGCCCCAACCTCCATTGGAGGACAAGGAGCTGACCTGCTTCTGCCCTACCAATGACACAATGCCAGCTCCATGCACGTTAAGGCAAGCTGCTGTCCTCAATGTAAGCAGGACCAGAAGATCCCCAAGAAAACTGAGATGTAACAAAACCACCCAAGGCAGAGTGCTCTGTAAGTTCACCTTCTTCTTTCTCATTAATTTTAGCCATTTCTTTGCAGTATGAAAAATGGATTTAAAAGTGTTTAGCAAAACCAAGAAACCTATACATGTAATATAATGTACTTCATGCCAGAGAGATCTGAAAAAATGAAGCATTAAGCAAATACTTTGCTAGCTTCTCCAGCTAGATTTACAAACGTCATTAGAGCAGCACAACTGACAAATATGAATTTTAAAATAGCCTACAGTTCCAATCTTAAAACTTGTAATTAAAAGGTAAATGGAAAAGCTCAGCGATCTGAAAAAACGTTGACACTGAAAATCTGTAAAATAATTTGCTTCACACAAATTAAATGAAAAAGAAATAGGAATATATCATGGAAGAGAGATACCTTGAGAGAGTTTCCAGTGTGCAAAAGTTTCTTCAAAATCGACCCTGGATTAGGAAGATGAAACAGGCACATATCAGATGTTAAGATGCTTTTTAAAAAAACACTACAGAAAAGGCTACTTTGATGCTACTCCTGCGCTGTCATTACACTGGTCTTCAAAAAAGATGAAAATTTCTGGGGGATAAAAAGCAAAATGACAGACGTGATACTCATGGCTATGTCAGAAAAAAAACCCAAACAACCCAACAGCTACTGAAATTGCAAAACATTTTGATTCATGTTTAAAAACACCAGGTCAACTGCTTGTTCCAAATGCCTGGCTTAAAATTAGATCTCACACATGAAATTCTTCAGCTAAAAATGTTTTTAGTCAAACTCCTCAGAAAATAACAGAACGTACAAGGCAGCTGTTATTTCACCTGGTTTTGAGAATTACAGCCTTACTTAGAAGTGACCCTTTGAGATCTCTCTATTTCAAAATTTTAGATGGAAGTTATTAGCATATAAACAACTGCACGTTAGCAGTTACACGGGAACATCAAGCAAAAAGCAAAGTACGAGGTGCACTTTAAATAACTGCAACCAAATTTTGTAGCTCATTTATCAAACACAGCTATAAATTTATCCACATACGACTGTTCAAAGGGAGCAAGGACGTAAATACATTAGCTCTAAAGCAACTGCCTACAAGCAATTTTTTCTGGACTCGTTGAGATGAAATGAAAGTAAAGTGGTCAAGCAGACATCTCCTTTTAGTTTTCCCAGTGCTAACTGGAAATGTGACAACAGCCCTTTCCTTGACCTTCACCTTCCACTCATTATTTCTTTTGCAACAGCAAATACATTGTTGGGACAAGAACATTACAGCTGATGAAACAGTGCTGGAAACCAAACCAAGCCAACCTCACCAGCAAAAAAGAACTGTAATGAAGAAATACAAGCCATTGCTCCCCTCCCAAAGCAGCAGAAACTGTCCAATTTACTTCAACAAACAGCAAAAGAAAATATTGTGGCCACCTTGGAAGCATTCAGAAGTAGAATTTTCACAGTTAATTAACCAAAGATGCTTAGTTCAGTGGACTGCAAGTTGTTTGGACTATCAAAATAGAAGTATTTCCCTCTCACTTGACTGTAATTTATTCAGTCTGGTCAAATGAGGAAAATAAAGTTTTCTTTGTCTCCTGCATGTGATCACAAGGGATGGTCAAAGGAAATATTTAAATAAATTAGAAAGTTCACATATTTGAAAATAAAGACAGCCAAACAATTTTCTCATTAGCATTTTTAGAACCTGATTTGAAGATATACCTGAAATCTCTATACCATCTACTGAAAAACTCATCAACAAAAGTTCAGTAATCCAACATTCAAGAGCGACCCAACCATTAGATGCTTATTATCTGAATGCTTTAAGGTGAACAAGTAGCAGAAGAATATCAAGTTTTAAGCCAAGCCCTCTAAGTGTCTTAACTAAGGTGACAGCCCTATTATTGTTTTTTAGGCATCTGTTGCAAGGCAATGTTCAGTTCTATGCTTATGAAGACTTCTGCAAAATACCTGCTTGTGAACAGACAGAACGGACAGGAAGCTAAGGAAAAAAAAAGGCTGAGCTTTACCAGCTCCTTTCCTGTGCTCCTCCCGTTCCCCCCTTGCTCCAGAAGCCACTGTATGTATCACAAATGTCATGGAGTGCAGGTAAAGAATGGAGAGCCTCTTGATTTGACCAAACAAATGCCACCCACAGGTTCTTGTTCCTGAAATGGCCAGTGTCAGCTGGCTTGGCAAATCCTCCACTGAATGAAGGATCCATGAAAGACAGCTGGGGCCAGACTTGCAGAAGTGCTGTGTATTCAGAATTCCACAGACACAGGCCAGCAAGACTGTGGGCCACTCAAAGTTATTAAAAAAGTTTAAATTTTTGTCCTTCCTTTCTTTGTTTCGCTATTCCAACTCTGAAACAGAAATTCCTCTTTTAATTCTCACTGATTGTGGTAACCGAGTGCTTCACAAATATTAATGAATTCAAATGTACAGAGAATAATGTCACAGGATTACCACAGAAGAAATTAAACACTTATGTGATGCAGCAGCCCGATGGTTCACATTTAGTGTAACTTGTGCTTGTTCAACAGTCACCAATGGAAAGCAGAAATGTATCAGAATATATTTCCAAAAGGAGACCAAGTTCAATGGTACCTGTATCTAGGCAAAGAGCAATTTTTATTACAACAAATTTGCATGAGCATTTGTATGTGATCATCTGTGAAAGACTTTACAGTGCAAATTTGCAAGAGAGCAAACACAGATTCCACAACCCTTCTCAATCTTAATTTTTGGACTTAGTCTGTGAATGCAAATGGGTCTCCATTTCTTAATTCACCCATTTTCCTAATTCACCCAATTAGGAAAAGGTGTGCTGGTTTAGATCCCTCGCCATTTTGATGCTCTAAAAGCTATGAAAGAGACAAAAAGAGGACCATGGCAAATCCAAGAATACAAAAATTCCAGGAGCTTTCATGCAAAAATAGAAGTGAAGCAAGCAATCAAAACCACACAGCACAAAGAACACACAGAGCTACTTTGACAGGTAAAAAGATTTTCCAGATGTTTCAAGAATTTTCAGATGCAAATCTCACATTTAAGTACCATCTGTGTGTTGGGCAAAACTATGTCACTCAGTGGTTTAAAGGACTTGCAGAACCAGGGAAGCGATTACAGAAAACATGGATTTCATTTTTACTACAACATTTTCAAACCATCCCTTCTTACCTATACTGCGAAAATGCCACCGATAAAAAATCCTCTCAGGCAGTAGTTGCAATATTTTCTGCAGGGAAGAAAACTAATAGTCAAATTTTCCATAATAAACTGGCTCATTCAGAGGATACAGATAAACTGATACACAAAACATACATGAAGTGGTTATATATAGACAGAGAAAACACAACAGAAAGCAGATAGCTGTTATAATTAGAACTCTTCACCATTACTTACTTCCTTGCTACACAGGAAGATGCTTGGAATGATTCTAAATAAACGCTGTAACACTGGCACAAACCTCTTTCCCCTTCCCCCTCTCCTGGAATGCCCCAGCATCTCAGAATATAAACTGATTTCCAATGAAGATGTCACAGACAGAATTTCCTCCTAAGAGGCTCACTTTGGGTTACATTTTTCTGAAGTGTCTGGTAATAACTACTGTTAGATTGATACAGTCCAGATTTTGAGATTGGGTGGCTTAGGTCTGCCTTTTCATCAGCTAATGGGGTCTATCTCCCAGCTAAGGCAGAGATGAGCAGCAGGGCAGTTATTTTACCGTGAGATGATTTACCTGTGTTTTCAGCTGCTGAGTGAAACCGAGCCAAATTACACAAAGCCAGCCTAATTTAATTCATAGCACACGCAGTTAATAAAGCACTTATGTGGAATAATACACGGCAATCTTCCTCTGACTGATGCTAACAGAGGCAGATCAAACAAAGAAAGAGGTTTGGTCAAGCCCATTTCCCCTCAGTTTTGTTACTCAACAGAGCATCCACAAAGCAAAGAATTTAAGCATACGCTTAAGTGCTTTCCTGAATGGAATTCATTTCCTATAATATTAGTTGCACAGAACAGTTGGGGCTACCAAACACTTTTTGTCAGCTTACTGGATGGTAATGCCATTAAATAATTTGGATAAATCCAAGCTATCCGGGGGTCTAATTTTGGTAAACGTGGCTTCTAAATAGTGCTTAAATCAAGTTTCAAGACACTTATATATATGTTAGCATAATAAACTAGGACTTGGCAAGCAGCTGTAGTATTAGTATAGGATAGCTAACCTACTGATGCTCAGCTTCCCAAAAAGGCAAGAGAACACACCTATTTTCGTACAGATTTCAGAGAAAAAAATGTCTGGCACTTACAACTTTTCAGTTACTGGGATATGAAATTTAGAAGTTATATCTAAATGGGAAAATAGTTTTGACACCTTCTTTAGGAAATGAAATCAAACTGAACAATCCCACACATGACTAGCAGTCGGGGTTTAATCATCAAACAAAATCACCAGAATAAATTTCTGCATAACGAAATGCCATCAAGTCTTCAGAAAAACCACATGCAGGATGCACAATGAATGACAAGTAATTGAAGCAGTGGTGACCCATTTGCTGGTCTTTTGCACATAAAAGCTCACAAGAAGAAATAAAAGCGTCACAGCCAAGAAAGCAACAATTTGTGTTTCAGGCCATCCTTCGGAGATGGCCTGCACATGAATCATTACTGCTGTTAAAAATGCTATGCTTGAGAGATGGATTATGACAGTTTTTTACTTTTCACGACAAAGTGCTGCAGCAACTGTATACAACACTGAAAGTCACGATCTATAGAAGATGGAGCATTCCCTTCTCCATGGCAGAAGATGGAAGGCATGAGAGGTTCACAGACTTAGGGAACCAGACCTCGGGTCATACAGACAGACTGCTCTTCCTTTACATCCACAGCACATGTTCCCCAAATAGTATTTGGCATTTCTAAAAGTGAATAGATAAATAGATCAGGCTCATCCTCCTCATGTCCTCGCCGTGCTCTTTTTCAGCGCTATCCCCAGAGCTCCTTCATCAGGCCGCAGGGGAAAACTCTCCCAGAGAGGAGCAACCAAAGCCTCACTGAATTCCACAATACACCACAGGGAGAAGCCTCCACGTGCCTTCACATTTATCTCAGAAACAAATAAGTAAATGCTCTTTATTCCTGTTTTTTTAGATCAGTAAAGAAGTACAGCAATCGTCACAGCAACAAAGGCTGCCCTAAGCAAGATACCTTCAGCTCGTCCTCAGACAGAAATTCTCTCTCATTTGTTTCAGAACAAAACTAACTACTGAGAACCAATTTCATCACATTTCGAAAGAATGAAGCATTTCTGTACAAATAACAAAATACACCTGGAAAAGATGTCAATTTCACTGAATAAATCTGAAATACACTTGAACACCAGGCATTTGTTAGGAAAAATTTGGGGAAATAATGTGATGACGTACAAACGTTTTCCTTAGCTGCAAAAAGAAACAACAGCCATTTCCCAATAGCTTTAACAGTGTTCTTAGAGCCGTTTTTCCAGTTTGAACATCCCAAACGATTGAGAACTGAACCAAAGAACCACCTCTTGTGGTGTTGCCTGAACACAGCAGCACACTGAGGCAGGACAGGTCTCACCATGCCCTCCCTACAAGCTGCAGAGCACAGTAGCTGTTATGTGGGAAAGACCAGAGGCACGATAGCATGCAGCATACATGGCCATCTGGTATCTTGCAAAATTTCACCTCAACTTGGAGTGAAATTCACTTCTAGAAAGTTAACTATAACAAGGTGTAAGCTGCAAAAGCTGACAATGTGTCGAAGATGCATAATTCTGATCTATTTTGAGAAAGAGTAACTCTGGCAACTGAGCTGATTTTAAGCCCTGCTCAAAGCAATTTTGGCACAAAAATCCTGTTGCAGAGTCTGACAACTACAAGGAAAAGCCAGATGATACTTTAAACTGCACAGGGTTGGGAGGACAGAGGAAGAAGGAAAGAACATGCCTATGGTGTCAGAAAAAATAAAAAGTAGCTGTAATAAATAAATAAGAATAAAATGCAAAATAAAAGCACCTCTGTCAGGTGACTGAATCAAAACAATTTAAAGTTTGAAAAAAATAATAAGAGGACAGAAGTTCCTGGCTGGGGAAAGCTTCAGCTTCCCAGTATCTCCTGACACAGCAAGAATTGGGACACTTCAGTTGTTTCGCACACCTTTCTCTGTTTCAGCATCTCAAAACCAGGCAAAAAAATATGCGTTCACTTTGGAAAAATGCAAAGATGCATTTAATCATCTGCACGGGATGACCAAATAGTAAGGTGAAGTCATTTTAGAAACCAAATTAGGTTGCTATCACAGTGATTTTGGAAGATATCAGCGCTTTGCAGAAGACTGAAATGCACAGAATTCATCTAAATTCAGAGGGCACGTTTGCTCCTGCAGTGCAAATATGCATTAGCATGTTTAAAGGTCTATACCATTAAATGAAAACTTCAGAATCCTACAAGCAAATTCAAAGTTAAGGCTAGAACACTCTTTTGATGGGTAGTTTTCACATATGTGCATCAGCCACAAGACAAGGCCAGTGCTACAGCACGACATAATATTCTGTCCTGCACGTGCACGGGTCGTTGTCCTTTCAGTATTTCCAAGAATATATTCTTCACTCTCCCAACCCCTGGGGTTCTCAAAAACTCGTATTGCCATTTCTATGAAACAAATGATAGTTTCTTGCACTCCAGCCTAGACTTTTAGCAGCACCGCTGTGAATCCAAACTGGCTATTGACATCTTGCTTGTAGTTTCCCAGTACACTAATAAGAAATATTTTAAGAAACCCCACAGTGTGAAATAATATTGCTTTTTCAGAAAACACATAGATCTATTTAATGCTTAGTGCTTTGCTGCATCTATATGGTAATCCATTATAGCACACTTGAAATAGAAATTAGGTATTACTACTGATCAACACATCAGGGTATCTGTCAGTTCTTTTAACTGATTATCCATAGTTCTTTTTCTTCCCGACTTCCTGCATGACTAGGAATAATGTTAAGTTTAAATCTTAGTTTACACAGGACGCTTGCAAGATCTCTCTCTTCATTTTAACAAAGAACAATAAAAAACACCAAGGTTTGTATTTAAACAAATTCCTCCTGACTTAACTAAAACTGCAATTTCTTTTTAAAAGGCTTTTATTTTTGCCAGCTTAGCTGAGTAATATCCTGATCGGTAGCTCTGCATCTATTGCAGTGTGCCACTCTGCCCTGAAGGAGAATGCAGAGAAAGCCAAGGCTGTACCAAACCTTACACCAAAGATCCCTATGCCCTGATGTTTTCCAGCTGTACCTGCACAGAAGTGAGATGATGAGCATCGCTGCTCGGTAACACACTATGCAGAGCATCTTATTAACCAGCAACAAAATCAAATGTGTTCCTGCTGATTGAATGTGCTCTCAGAGGCGATGCCAATGACAAGTCCAGAATAATGTTCATTTCAGGGGAATGGATTCTGAGGAAAAAAAATAGCTTTCCTGATACAGCCTGTACATAATGAGGAGTTCCTATTAGTCTGCTGCCAGGTGTACCTACTGTAATCCATATCAAATGTAGAACAGCTCTCCTACATCTTTATGTTTAAGACTGTTTGGTGTTACCTGTACAGCAGCTTCAGAAGGTTCAGCTATTAAAATCTGCAATAATTCTGAATTTTTTCTGCTGTTACTCACTGATTTAGGTGAGGCCAAGAGCTCAATGAAGTTAGTATGCCTGCAGCAGCTCTACCTCCATAAAGGGAGACCCTATTTATTGTATCCATAAATTATTTACAGTGGGAAAACATCTGCCCAAAGCAAGCAAGACCATATTCTTCCCCAAGCATAACACTATACAAAAAGATCTCCCAAATATACACTGTGTACATTTACAATTTAAAATGGAATGCTAGAAGAATAATGTTATTATAATAATAGATGAATTAACCATAATTACAGCAGAATAAACTGAAGACTGTTCAGAAAGCTATTTTCCATGTGTTAGAAAGGAGCACTTTTATTGTTACAAAAAAGTAAACCCTTCTTAATCTACTGAGCTTGAGAATCAGCCAACCAAGTCTGTGACAGACAACTTTAAACAGGGGAAGTTGTCACCACAGTAAGCAAGAGAACCAAGTAAAAAGCTGGAACGGAACCTAAAACCTGGATCTAAAGCTGAAACTCCCAGTGGTAAGACAATCGACAGGGGTGGAAATTAAGCCACTTACCTG